TTTTTTGTAATAATTATATACTCCACATGACGTCATAGCGATACCACGGGACAATTGTTTTATTAGTTTAAATATTTTAATGATTCGTTACATGTTCTAAGTATATCCTTGCATAAATTATTTACACGTCATGGAGGTAAGGACGTCACATGTTTGACGTCTAGTATTTTCTTGTGTTTTTACAATTTTCTGTTAAATTATATTGACGTCATTCAGTGAATTTTAATACATATTGTATTTACAACTTTAGATCTGAGTATTTCGTGTTGTCTGTAGTCATATATGTATGGTTATGTGTATCAATAGCTATATGGCTTTATATAGCCTTAGATAGATTTCCATTTGTAGCCATTGCTGTATAGCTGCATGAATTTAACGATGTAAGTTTGTGGTTTCAGGATGGTTTTGAACTGCATGAACCTATAGCTGTATGGCTGCATATAATTTTAGCTGTTTGATTTCGGAAACGAGTACTTGTTTGAATTTTTGTAACTATAGCTTTATGGCTGTGTGTAAATGTGTGTAAACATAGCTTTATGGTTGTCATAGTGAGGAAAACAACAAATTACTTGTTATCCTGCAGTGGAATGCAGAGGGAGTTCATAAAAAAAAGGAAGCCTTAAAAATATTCCTACATGAAAATAAAGTAGACGTTGCTTGTATTCAAGAAACTCACCTCAACAACAATCTTCGCTTCTCTATTAGAGGATACACCTGCATAAGGCAGGACAGGGAAAACAGACCTAAAGGAGGTATCCTCATTCTCATAAAAAATGACATTCCAACAACAGATATCGTTATACCAAACTCAACAGCATCTGAGATAATGGGCACCAAACTCATACTTGCAGAAGGTAACCTAAATATCTTCAATTGCTACTGTCCTCCTGATAAGGACCTGGAACTGGACCGCATCTCCCTGCCAAACAGCGAAGAGTGCCTGGTTGTGGGAGACATGAACAGCCACTCCCAGAGCTGGGGTTACCCTGACCTCAATGCTAAAGGAGAGGAAATTGAAGAATGGCAAGCAGAAAATAGGCTCATCCTTCTAAATAAACCTGATGACAAACCAACTTTTTACTCAAGGTCTTGGTTAACCACGTCTACCCCCGACCTAGCTTTTGCTACTAATGGCATATCCAAAAAATGCAAAAGAGAAGTTGCAGATCAACTAGCCACTAGCGACCACCGACCAATCCTGATCCAGATAGAAACATCAAACAGGCCAATTGAAGCCTACCCCCGCCCTAGATGGAACTACAAAAAAGCTAATTGGGAGCTCTTCTCTTCCCTCACAGACTCCTACACAAGACCAATCAACTGTAAAACCAAACAGGTGAACAAGTCATACACAGCCTTCTCAAAAGCAGTTCTGTTAGCAGCCAAAAAATCTATTCCAAGGGGAGCAAGGAAAAATTATATCCCAAACTGGACTCCAGACCTCCAGATACTCCATGACGAGACAATTGATGCTAGAAACATTGTTGAAGAAAATCCCACTGTAGAAAATAACATAAAATTAAAATCAGCAAACGCAGTTTTTAGAAAAAAGTATCTAACTGCATTGAGGAAAAGCTGGCAAGAAAAAACAGAACACCTCAATGTAGATAGAGATGGTCATAAACTATGGAGTATTGCAAAAAGGCTAAACCAAGAAGAAAACAGAGCTACTCCCATAGTCATCGACATTGAAAACAGGACCAAAACAGAAAAGGATGCAGCAAAAGAATTTATAACCCACTTCAGCAAAGTGGGACAAATAAATATCAGCCACCAAAGAGTAGAAGAGGTTACAAATCAAACTGAAGTTAAAGAAAAACTACAGAAAGTCTCTCCCCCCTCCTCCACTGGAATGGTAGCTCGAATTAGCAAGAAGGAGCTCGGAGAAGCAATGAAGCTCCTCAAACTTAAGCAAGCTCCAGGCCCTGACAAAATCTCAAATGATATGCTCATGCACCTGGGCCCCAATGCTAAGAAAAAACTGCTCCAAATATTTAATGCAAGCTGGAAATCTGGGAAAATCCCAAATATTTGGAAAAAAGCAATCATGATACCTGTTCTAAAAATAGGAAAACCCAGGAACAAAGTCGATAGCTATCGCCCAATAAGTTTAACAAGCTGCGTTTGTAAACTGATGGAAAGAGTAGTAAACAACTGACTGACCTGGTTTCTAGAATCGAACAATCTACTAGCGGACGAACAGGCAGGCTTCAGGAAGTGCAGATCTACTGAAGACCAAATCACCTTCATTTCTCAGGAAATAGAAGATGGCTTTCAAGAAAAAAAAACAACCTCAATAGTGTGGGTCGACTTTGAAAAAGCCTTTGACAAGGTTTGGGAGCAAGGCTTAATTCTAAAGCTAATAAACCATCAAGTATCTCATAACATGCTAAATTGGATAAAAGGTTACCTAAGCAACCGAAAAGCATCAGTCTCCATGCAAGGAAAAAGAAGTCACACAGTAACTATAAAAAATGGAGTCCCTCAAGGAGGAGTCTTGTCTCCTACTCTCTTCCTCATTTATATAAATGACTTAAATGAAAACATCCCAAGGAGAGTAAAAAGAAGCATGTTTGCAGACGACCTTTCACTAATCAGCACAGAGGAATATATTGGTACCTCAAAATTTCGTCTTCAAGAAACACTTGACAAGCTCGGCAAATGGACCAAAAACTGGGGCTTATCCATCAATACCAAGAAAACAACTTATTCAATCTTCACCTTATCAACTAAACATCAAAAAATGAAACTTACCCTAGAAAACCAAGAGCTAGAAAAAAATGACAACCCCAAATACCTAGGAGTCACTTTTGACACTCGACTTACCTGGAGAAAACAAATAGAAAACACACAAAGTAATGGGATCAAAAGACTTAATCTAATGAGGAAACTGGCAGGAACAGACTGGGGAGCAAATCACCACATCCTGAAAAAAACCTACACCAGCTATGTGAGACCTACGTTAGAATATGGTGCTTCGGCTTGGGGCTCAGCAGCAAAAACAAATATTAGCAAAATTGACAAAGTTCAGAACATTGGATTGAGAATAATGACAGGAGCCATGAAAACAACACCCATAAAAGCTATGGAGGAAATAGCCGCTCTTAGCTCAATAGAAGAAAGAAGAGAATCAAAAATCCTCACTCAATACACAAAGCTAGAGGCACTGGAAAACCATAACCTAAAACAAAAACTCCAGAAACCCAGTCCATCAACCAGACTACAAAGAACAAGTTTCATCAAAGAAGCAAAGAATCTGAAAAAGAAATATGAAATCGAAAATATCATTCCTGAAGCAATAAAAACTCAAAACCTCTCCCCGCCTTGGATCTCCCACTGTCACTTAACCATTATTGACTCAATAGACACCATAGGAAAAAAATCTGACTACGATCTAGAAGAACTAAAGAAAATAACATATAAGCACATTAAGGATCAGTACCCCAGCAATACCTGGATTAGAGTTTTCACAAATGGCTCAGCTGAAGATGCCACAAAAAACGGCGGGGCTGGCATCCTTATTGAATGGCCAAGCGGAGAAAGCCTGGAAAAGGCAATAGCCACAGGCAGCCTATCCGACAATTTTAGGGCAGAAAAAGAAGCTTTAGAACACGCAGCAAACCTCCTGTCAGAACACCCTGAATCACCGAATAGACAGATTGTATTTCTTACAGATGCCAAATCAGTCCTGCAATCCCTACAAAATCCGGAGTCCTATATTCAAACACTTATGACAGCACTAGAGAGGCTAAAAAATACCTGCAGCAGAATTGTGCTGCAGTGGATCCCGGACCACTGCCAGATCCAGGGTAACGAGATCGCAGACCAGCTGGCAAAAATTGGGGGAAAGAAACCACAACCGGAAATTTCGCTACACCCAAAAGAAATAAAAAAATTAATTAAAAACAAACAAACGCAAATGTGGTCTGTCACACACACTCACTACATTAAAGACGACGGCTATTACAATTTAACACGAAAACAACAATACATAATCTTTCGACTTAGAACAGGCCACAACAGACTAAATCAACACATGCACAAAAAACTGAAGGTTGGGTGTAGCGAAATGTGCCCTTGTGGCAAGGCCCCGGAAAACACGGAGCACGTACTCCAGGAATGTACTCTGTATAGCCAGGCAAGAGGCAGACACTGGCCCCAGCCCACCCCACTCAGGGAAAAATTATATGGGACACCTGACAAACTGGAAACCACAGTCCGGTTTGTCCACGAAGTTGGACTTGTTGTCTGAATCCTCCACCATATTCAAAAATTAAGAACGAAGAAGAAGAAGAAGAAAGTCTGTGAATCTGTTTAATTCAAGCTGTATGGCTGTGTGTAGAATTTATGTAACTATAGATGTATGAATGTGTGTGAATTTCTGTTAATATAGTTGGATGGCTGTGTGTGAATTTGTGTAAATATAGCTTTATGGTTGTGTGTGAATCTGTTTAATTCAAGCTGTATGGCTGTGTGTGAATTTATGTAACTATAGATGTATGAATGTGTGTGAATTTGTGTTAATATAGTTGGATGGCTGTGTGTGAATTTGTGTAAATATAGCTTTATGGTTGTGTGTGAATTTGTGTAATTCATGCTGTATGGCTGTGTAATCTATTAGCTAAATGACTTCTGAAATACGTAAGCCTACCTGTAATACTTTGTGTGACTATAGCTGTATGACTGTATTCTATTAGCTGAATGACCTCAGGAACTTATACATGCATGCCTGTGAAACTATAGCTGTATGGCTGCTGAACCCCTAGCTATATGGCTGTTACATTGTAAACCTGCTAGAAGGTATAACTTGGGCTTGGTCTAGTCCATACTAAAGCATAATGTCAACAAATTTGTTCATGAACTTGTGCTGTCTAGTGTTCATGGTGTTTTAACTGCCCACATCATGAGCAGGAGTGTTGTAAAAAAAAATTCATAATATTTTTATATAATATAATTAAATAAATCCTGGCCAGTTCCTGCATAAAATAAATCTTTGTATATTGAAACATTACACAGCTTTTTTTCTGATTTATTTGGATTGGTAATTAGGATAATTAAGGATCTTTAAAAAAAATGAAATAAAACTTGATACGATCATATAGCCTAAATGCAGTTGATTTCCATTATTTTAAACATTCTTAACACGTTAAAAATGCACAATGGCGCTTTGAATGTAGCGTGAAGTTAATGCGCATGCGCATATGTGACTTGTGTGACGTCAGACAACTTCCGTATCCAACTCTCCGAAACCTCCCAGAATCCTTCGTCAGACTTCAGCCAAGCCTAGAGGCAGCTAAGGAGTTGTTTTTATGGCGTGCTTTTATATATATTCAAATGTCTAGACAATTTGAATAGGTCACAAGTGGCGCTTAATTTTCACCTAAGTACTGTTTGCATTAGTGGCGGGGCTTATCTGAACAAGATCTTTTCAAATTTCAGGAAGATTGTTCACTGTAATCATCAATCGGTTCTAGACAGCTCAACAACAACAACAAAAAGTATATCGCTTTGTTGAATCAGATTTACAAAATCAATAAAGTATTTTAGATCGAAGATAGTTGTTACATAACATTTTTTTAGGCTTTGGAGACTCAAGTCGAGTTCGAAGCGCATAAACAGTCATACTATAACATGACAGGTAAATTTGTCTGGTTTGAAAAGTGACACTTTTGATTACTCATATAACACGACTCATCTACAATTGAGTACTCATCCTACGTTTTTCAGTGTTACTCGACTAAACTTGAGAATATTTTTACTCCACACTTCTTAATTCCATTTGCCCACAAAATAACGTAGTTGAAGTATCTGCTTGAAATTTCAACCTGCTTTTATAGATTCTGGAATAAATAGGCTTTACCGGTAAAATTGTAAATTTAGCTTTGAAAACTTTTAATAAATCTGGCCACCTCGTCGTGTGCGAGGGCGGATGTCGTGGGGAAATCAGCCACACGTCCAAAGAACGCGTGAGGGACTCCGGAAACTGTAAACTCAGTGACCTTGACCCCGGCCTGGCGTAACTTCCGGGCATAGGCCACGCCCCAGTCTTTCAGCGCGTCCAGCTCAGCGTGGATGACAAGGGCGGGGGGAGACGACTCCAGGTTGGCTCTGGCTGACGGGTTGACCCGCGGGTTGCTGGCCGCGCCCTTGATACCCGGGAGAAAAATATCCAACATGGCCTCCATCCCGTGAGTGTTGAACCCTGGAACGTCGCGGAACTCTTCAAACGAGGGCAGGTCGCAGGTGAGGTCAGTGACCGGGTACACCAGCACCTGGAAGGCCACGCCCTGCACGTCATTCAATACACTGCACGTGATCTGCCCGCCTGCGCTGTCCCCGCCCACACCGACCTGGCTATTTTTACACCCGCCTACGACTTCCTTGTTTTCCAAGACCCATTTCGTCACAGCTAGAGCGTCATTGAAGGGTGCCAGTGGATCTTCCTCACAAGGGAGGAGCCGGTACTCAACCACAACAAAAATGGCGCCGGACCTAGAAGACACTGACCTCGCGCATCTGTCATAACTTTTTCTGGTCAGCATGACCAGACCCCCTCCATGGAAGTACACACAAATCACCGGGTCAGCCGGAAGCCGGCAGGGCTTGTACACCGTGACCGGAATTCCGGTTTCGACTTGGGGGCTTGGGATGATGATTTCCGTGATGTCCCCGTCGAAAGGGTCCGCGGGTTCGTCGTCTCGGAGGGCGATGACGGACTGGGCTCGGGCTTCTTCCAAGGTCAAGGTCTGGAAGGGTTTGAGGCCAAGGTCAAGGATACGCTGCGTGGTGGTCAAGGTCTCGGGGTGGATGGTGTACTTGGTGGACCATCTGGCCCAGGCGGATTCGGCGGTTATGGTGGTCATTTGAGGGGAAATCTGGGGGAACAAGATGGTAGATGTTTAAGATTGTGGAGGGATGGTGTAGATTTTATATAGACGAAGGCTGCTAGAATTGTGGAATAAGAGGGCATTGTTGTTGGGTTAAAATTAAAAAACAATAACAAAATAAAACCTCAAATTTTGAAATCAAGAAAAAGTATTAATGCATACTTTACAGCAAAGTATAACGTAACTTGAATCACAGATGTGTATTTTAAAATGTTGCTTATGCAAGAAGACGCCATTCGGAAATAGTTAATTTCTTCAAGCTTAAAGCATCTCAATTAAAAGAAAAAAATACATTAAGTAATTATTTTAGCATTATTTTTTTTTAATTTTGATATAGAATAAGAATTATTGGTTGTCCAGCAAAGTTTTCCGTGCATGGTTAACAGAGTGGTATCCCTTGAAATATATAAATAGTGCTCGGCTTGTGAGAACGAGCGTTAAGATTAGGTGTACTTTAACCTTAACAGCTTCCTTACCTCGCCATCCATCATTTTGCCCCCCCCCCCCGACACACACACACACACATCGCCACTACTACAAGCACTAGTCAAAACAACGGCAAGAACTGTGGGGCTGGCGCAGATCTGGTTACTGGACCACCACAAATAACAACCAGCATTTCTTCCAGGCATCTTTTTTTTTTTTTTTGGGGGGGGGGGGGGGGGGGGGTGGGGGGGTCCGGCCCCCGAAGATAGTCTACAACCACTCCGTGGAAAATGTAGTCCGCCCCCCCCCCCCCCCCCCCACCCACCCACCAAAAAAAATATCAAATGCCTCCTCCCCCACTTACCCGGAGAAAAAAGTCCGAAAGAAACACCGATCGCAACAAACAACACACAGGATATAAAACAATACCACTTCACGTAAATCTACTCACAGTTCATACACAACACAGGATAGAAAGACTATCTGTTTTAACTTTACACAACTCACTCATCACACAGATTAATACACGTAACAACGTAACAAAGATTTAAACACACATAACACAGCTCTACAGACACATACTTACACAGACACACACATAACACTCACTTTTACCGATTAACGACGCATAATTTTAAAAATGACTCATATACCTACACACATATACGGCAATCCAATCAAATACTACGCACACTACCGAATAAAACACATAGACCTACAAACGCACACAAGTAAACCAAATTCTACTCACACAAATCTATATTTATCAATGCCCTCGTTCACTCAATCAGACGTCAAATTCTTACCTTTGACCTGGAGCAGCAGACACAACAGCAGACGATCTGAATTTAAAACAATGTAACACGTCTGGTTGCTGGTAACCTTGACCTAATCACACACGGCCTTGACACGACGGATGCGGGAATAACACACCGGACAAGTGGCAGACCGCATAATGGATGTTTTCTGATAACGGGTCGTCCATATATGCGTCACAGTCCTTGAGAGCACGAGTGTTTCAGGCATTCTCTTCCCCCCCCCCCTATACGCCAACCGCCAGTGTTACGTCATTCACGTGTGCCAAGTTAGCCACAAATAATTGGCTTTAGATTGGCCACAAATATAACTGGCTTTAGGTTAGCCACAAATATAACTGGCATTAGGTTGGCCAGAAATAAAACTGGCTTTAGGATGGCCACAAATATAACTGGCTTTAGGTTGGCCACAAATATAACTGGCTTTAGGATGGCCACAAATATAACTGGCTTTAGGTTGGCCACACATATAACTGGCTTTAGGTTGGCCACAAATATAACTGGCTTTAGGTTGGCCACAAATATAACTGGCTTTAGGTTGGCCACAAATATAACTGGCCTTAGGTTGGCCACAAATATAACTGGCTTTAGGTTGGCCACAAATATAACTGGCTTAAGGTTGGCCACAAATATAACTGGCTTTAGGTTGGCCACAAATATAACTGGCTTAAGGTTGGCCACAAATATAACTGGCTTTAGGTTGGCCACAAATATAACTGGCTTAAGGTTGGCCACAAATATAACTGGCTTTAGGTTGGCCACAAATATAACTGGCTTTAGGTTGGCCACAAATATAACTGGCTTAAGGTTGGCCACAAATATAACTGGCTTTAGGTTGGCCACAAATATAACTGGCTTTAGGTATGCCACAAATATAACTGGCTTTAGGTTGGCCACAAATATAACTGGCTTTAGGTTGGCCACAAATATAACTGGCTTTAGGTTGGCCACAAATATAACTAGCCATAAACGTAGATTAAGACTGTAAGTAGCGGCCAACTGCCATATCATTAAACTTAATTGCAATTAATTAATGCTAAACCATCTCCATCTCCGTGACGAGGACGTGCCTTGTACACACTTGTACAGATTGAAATACGGATGTGGTACGCCGTACAATTGTACACATTGATATGGTTTGGTTTTTTAAATCTTGTTAAAACATTAAATAATACAGACAATCCTGAAACGATATATAAACCATGTGTGTGTGTGTGTGTGTGGGAAGGGGTGGGGGGTGGGGGGAGGGGGAGTGTGATGTCACATTTCTGTAATTTTTAAAAATATTTTTTCCCAGATTGAGTTTAAGCAGTTGTTTTGCTTTTTTTCCCTCACTGTAATAGTTTCAATTATAAAATTAAAATTTAAAATTAAAAAAAAAAATCATTTTAAGCAGGTGGGGGCTAGATTTTAGTTAATATTTGTCAGAGAATTTAGGGGTGGGGTGGGGGGGGGGGAGATTGTCGTCATTTTTAAGGTGGCTAAGTGGTATGTAACCATCTATACTTTTGGTAAGTGGCTATGTAACCAGATATCCATTTGGTTAAGTATATATGTGACACAAAAACGTTATAGCAGATTGGCAGAAGCTTTTGTGAACCATGAAAAAATACTGAGAGAGTGCTAACACTCTCCACAAACACATTGAACTTTGTACCAAAAAAAAGTTACCAATAGAAATAATAAGACTTTCCAATTACGACAATACATTTCAGTGACAAAACATTTTAGTAAAACAAAACACAATATCAATCTAGGAGATTTTTTTTTCAGAATTTTATTTACGGATAACATCTAAGACAATACATTTCTGTGGCTAGAACTGCCACACCCGAGTAAATATTGGAAGAACAGACTGGATACCTGAGTGCTCTTGTGTTCTTAGATACTTCGTCAAGATTGTGAAGATTGTTCATTCTCACACACTTTCAAAATCTCTAAGACGACAATTTACTTAAAATTTATAGAAAAAGTCCTACAATTTGCTAAGATTGTCCTACCATTTGTTAAGATAGTCCTACAATTTGTTAAGACAGTCCTACAATTTGTTAAGACAGTCCTACAATGTGATACAAGGTATTAGTGCCACCACTGCATTATTGGAAGGATGTGACGAATTTGGCGACTTCATCGTGCGCTTTCGCAGACATGGTTGGGTAATCTGCGACCCGGCTGAAGAACCAGTGAGGCACGCCTTCGTAGGTCATCTCCTTGACCTTGACCCCCGCGTCACGCAGCTTCTTGGCAAAGGCCACGCCCCAATCTCTCAGGGGGTCGAGCTCGGCCATGATGACCATAGCAGGGGGAGACGACTGGAGGTTTTTCATGGCGGAGGGGTTGACCCTGGGGTTGGTGGCTGCCCCGGGGATGTGGGGCACGTACAACTTAAACATGGCCTCCATGGTCAGCGTGTTGAACGCTGGGATCTCCTTGAACTCCTGGTGCGAGGGCAGGTTGCAGGTGAGGTCAATGACCGGGTACACCAGCACCTGGAAGGCCACGCCCTGGACGTCGTTGAGCACGCTGCAGGTCAGCTGACCCCCAACGCTGTCCCCGCCCAGGCCGACCTTGCTATTTTTAGACCCGCCGACTTTTTCTTTGTTCTTCATGACCCACTTGGTCACAGCCAAGCAGTCGTCAAAAGGCGCCATCGGGTTCTCGGTGCAGGGAAGCAGACGGTACTCAGGGATGACCATGATGGCCTTGGTTTTCTTGGCCAGGGACTTCATGCAGCAGTCGAAGCTGTTGGTATGGACCATAACCAGACCTCCACCGTGGAAGTAGATAAAAATAATCGGATCAGCCGGACAGTCGCTTGGCTTGTACACCGTGACCGGAATTCCGGTTTTGACTTCCGTGCAGGGAATCATCATCTCCTTGACGGTTCCGTTAAATGGCACCACGTCCTCGCCGTCCCGGCATTCCATGGCGACGTTTTCCCGAGCTTCCTCGAGGGTGGTTTGGTACAGAGGTTTGAGGCCCAGGTCCATGATGCGCTGGGTGCTGGCCAGAGTCTCGGGGTGGATTTTGTATTTCCTGGACCACTGGAGCCAGGCCATCTCGGCGGTTTTTGTAGCTGTCTTCTCCTGGGAATACAAGACACGTTTTATAGACAATAGGGAAATGACAGAATTTATAGTTTATTACAAGATATGTTTTATAGACAATAGAGAAATGGCAGAATTTAGAGTTTATTACAAGACACTGTCTTCTCCTGGAAATACAAGACACGTTTTATAGACAATAGGGAAATGACAGAATTTATAGTTTATTACAAGATATGTTTTATAGACAATAGAGGAATGACAGAATTTATAGTTTATTACAAGACACTGTCTTCTCCTGGGAATACAAGACACGTTTTATAGACAATAGGGAAATGACAGAATTTATAGTTTACTAGCCGTCCCGGCCAGGCCCTGCTCTGGCTTCTGTGAAAAACCTTTCTGTTAAAGACCATTACCTGTGTGTTTAGTAATCATCATAAACCCGGCATTGCCCACCCAAACCACAACCAACCAAAACAACAAAACGCAAACATAACGCTAACACAATTACAAATAAAAACGAAAACAAAAACCTAACAACAAACCCAACCACAACCACAAACACCAATACAAACACAAAGAAAAAACAAACAAAAAAGCAAACGAAAACAAAAACCTAACAACAAACCCAACCACAAACACCAATACCAACAAAAAAAAACAAAAAAAACGAAAAAGCAAACGAAAACAAACCAAATTCAAACGCAAAACCAACCAAAAACACAAATACAAACCCAAAAAAAAAACACAAACAAAAACGAAAAAAGAAAGAACAAAAACGAACCAAATCAAAACGCAACCACTAACGCAAACCCACCTAAACACAAAGAAAACACTAACGCGAACATAAACGCCCGGGGCGGAATCACCTGTTTTAGCTTAATGAACGACTATAGTACCCCAACTTATTCATAGTCTTTTGCACTCACTTAAACGAACGCGCCTGTTTCAATTTGATGAACAATTTTAATACTCCAAGCTTATCCGTAAAATACCTACAACATTTGCACTTGATCAATCCCCGCTAATTATGTAATTATTTTTTTTTTCCAACACCAAAACAAAGTAATTAAAAAGTAAATTATTTTCGACTTATGCAATGGTTTTATAAAGGGAAGTAATTTTGTTTTCCTAATTTATCAAAGGGAAGTAAGTGCTATAGGACTAAATAAAGACATAATTAGAATTTTTGTAAAAGATGATATTTTTTTAAACTTGTGTTTAATGAACATGCCGACAATTATTACTGTAATTTGAAAAATGAAAATGATTTCCCAACACTTTCAATGGTAATTTTTTAGCTCATAAATTTAGACAAATGCGCACGATAATTTTCTAACACTTAAATTCGTACAATTCCAACGACATACAAATGCATTACATACAGAACTGAGCTTTATATATTAGATTACAAGATATGTTTTATAGACAATAGAGAAATGACAGAATTTATAGTTTATTACAAGACACTGTCTTCTCCTGGGAATACAAGACACGTTTTATAGACAATAGGGAAATGACAGAATTTATAGTTTATTACAAGATATGTTTTATAGACAGTAGAGAAAGGACAGAATTTATAGTTTATTACAAGATATGTTTTATAGACAGTAGAGAAAGGACAGAATTTATAGTTTATTACAAGACACGGTCTTCTCCTGTGAATAGAAGACACGTTTAGAAGTCATGAGAGAAATAAGAGAATTTAGTTTATTACAAGATACGTTTTGTAGACACTAGAGAAATGTCAAGTTGTTTACAAGATATGTTTAGAAGACCAGGGAGAAAAGACAGAATTTAGAGTTAATTACAAGACACGTTTTTCTCTAGGGGAATACAATATACATTTTATAATCAATAGATAAATGCGCATTAATTCAAAACGAGACATGTTCAAAAGAAATAAGAGAAAGAGCATGGAGTTTATATATTTGTAAATGCTAAAATATATTTAGAAATCGAATTATTTAAATATTTAGGAACCAAAAACAAACGACCAGCTACAGAAAATGGACCTGCTTCAAAAACAGTTGACTGTATACATAAATAAATGGACCAGCTTTAGAAATAGAATGCCAGCTTCAAAACACGGCTAGTTATCATCTTTAGTCCTGTTGTAGCATGAACTAGCCTCAGCTAACAACTAGCTACTAACACAATGAGGTTTCATAACCACTCGATGTAAGTATAGCGCGCCATAAAACCACATGTATGGTACCATTTCTTCTACGGAGTATCTAAAAATAGACTGCTTAGGCTGTTGACAATTTTATTTTGTGTGAGTAATGAAATACAAATTTCTCTATAGATCGTACAATAACTTTTTAGATAAAAAAAACATTTCAAAACACAACATTTAACAATAAACTATAAAGTTACTATAATTAAATAAGAATTGGCTGAAAAAAGAATTCTTCAAAACTATTTTATGAAATTAGCAATATGTATGTATTTCATATGATTAAAAAAAAAATAACGCTTTTTGTATTGTGGCTAAGACCGAGATCTTTAATTCACCCAGCCTATGTACCAAAGAAACAAACTAGATCCACTCACCATTTTGTTCGATGCTTAGGTTGAGAACAACAGAAATTGTTGACAAACTTTCTCTGTCCGCTGGTCTTTATATACCATAGGTCTGAGATCATTCCTGCGACTCAGCTAAAATTAATCTAATTATGGATTATTGGTTGATTAACTGCAGAGGTGTTGGTTGGTGTTAAAATAGAAGCATATAGGGGTGGGGGTGGGTAGAGGTTTAGTACATGCTGATACGACAGTTATGTATTGAAGGATTGTGTGACATTGGCGTAGTTAGGGTGTAATGGGCGTAGTTAGGGTGTCATGGGGGTAGTTAGGGTGTCATGGGCGTAGTTAGGGTGACATGGGCGTAGTTAGGGTGTCATTGGCGTAGTTAGGGTGACATGGGCGTAGTTAGGGTGGAATAACATGGGAGTGGTTATGCGGCATGGGTGTAATTAAGGTGGTTAAATTTTGTCGGGAGCCCATTTGTGGGGAACATATACGTCGCGAGTCAATACGACGGGAGCCCATTTAACGGGAGCCAATATGTTAGAGATCTTTTATCGGGGCTATTTTGAGTAAAGCTACCCTCTCAGACCTACAGATCTAAAGGGTAGACAAAGTATAGTTCAAATGTTTCTTGAACTTGGCTAATAAATTGTCAGCACCATGCCCAGCAGCCTTTACTTTCCCCAACGTGAGTCAGGTACCCATCAGAGCTGGGTGGACTCAAGGACGTCGCACAGTCCCGTGTCCGAAACGAGATCCGAACTCGAGACCTTCCGAACACTTTACCAAGGTAATGTCGCGGTATTGGCATCGTAATGACATGGCAATCTCATCGACATGTCATCGCAGTGTAGATGTCAGGTCATGGTAATGACATCGGTAATTTGTCTTAAGGTCATGGTAATATCCTCGATATGTCATTTTGCTGTCATCATCATCCTGATGTCAATGTCAAATCCATGTCATATTGATGTCATCGTAATGTCACAGTAATGTCTACCCCTCCCCCCCCCCCCCAATGTAACACCTGTTAATGACACCCAGATTAAGACTATCAAGTCCACCACCTAATTTAAACACAAGTTCATCTTGTCCTAGATAGATAATTACAACCGTTTGTTTGTTTATTTCAGACTTTTCACGATACACACTTCTGCTGAGATCAGGAAAAAAAACGTGTTTTGCTATGTGAGTATAGTAAGGAAAAGATTACATTACATTACAGCAAATGGTTTTTTTTTTTGTTATTACCCAAACTAAGGTTAAAAGTGCTACATCTGTTTTATATTTGCTGGTAGGGAAAGTACAGTTTAGCTTCCAAAGTCGGATTTCAACAGTTGGGTAACCGAACAAAAACAATTGCCGTACCCTTGCGTGCGCTATTAGTTTGCTGGGGAAGATTTTATTCGATCAACTGAAATAGAGTAAAACATCGACGTAGACACAGCAGTTTAAAAAATATAAGAAACGGCAAATCCCTCTACACACTACACGAAAATGCTAAATATAAGAAACGGGAAATACCGAAGCAGTTCAAGTACAAAATAAACAATAATCATCCATTAGTTATCCCTGTGAATAGGGACAAGAACCGGCCACGATAAGTAAAAGGCGCGAAGTAGTGATATCCTCTCATGTTTAACATACGTACATTTTATGTGCATGTTTAATATCAATAAGTCTAGTGTACATGAAACCATGTAAGTGCATTTGTTATCATTATAACATTAAAGAATAGTTTCAAACAAGTAAATAAAATATTAATAATAACATAAATATAATAATGTATTAAAAATATAAATATGATACGTGTGTGTAGTGATGAATATTTTTTAACCACCCGCGATGGACTGAGACCGCGATCAATGAACCGCGAAGTAGCGAGGGAGCAGGAGCGTAGCGAAAGGGGGGGGGGGGGGCGGGGGGGGCGGACCGCACCGGGTAACACCATTTAGGGGGGTGACACCAAGGCAAAAAATAGCAAAATATATAGAGAAAAACTTGAGGGGGAGGTGCAAGTCGAAAGTTTGAGGGGTGGCGCAAATCGAAAACTTGACGGGGGGGGGGGGGGGGGGGGCGGTGCAAATCGAAAATTTGAAAGTTTGTCCCCGGCAAGGGTCGCTACACCTCTGGGGGTTGACACCATTAAGTGCCGCACCGGGTGACACCCGACCTCGCTACGCCACTGCTAGGGAGGACTGTACCATCCTATTAACGAGACACAACCGCACATGGCCTATGTAGTAAACGTGAATCACAATGTACTGGTGGTATTTTTTTTTATTCATTTAAAGATTTAAAAGCCGCTTTCGGTCCAATAGATTATGAACTACGCGAATTATCTTAGGCACATATTATGTGTAAAGTGGCGCTATACACAAAACAGATTGTCAAAGTGTTAGAAAGGATACATGTGTTTTAAGTGGGTTGATTTTTTGTTCTGTTTAGTAGTTGGCACCAACACACGCATGCACACACTCAAACACACTCACACACATACACACACACACACACACAATACATTGAAATTTACTTTTTTGATCCCCCATTTATACACAAACATACAAACATAAATTCTCACAGTTTGATCTTCATATTGTCCCGTACACCCATAACCTACACATATACATACACAAACACACGTATTCGATTTGCCACGTCACTCCCCCACTCATACATAGACACACACAAATGCGTAAACATACACACACACACATCTGAACTCCTTCTTCCCTCCCCCCCCCCCTCATCGACATGCACTTTAGCACCCAAAAGTGGTGTGAAGTATGACTCATGGGGGGGGGGGAGGTTTTGTTTAGATAATCTGGCAGCGTACGGCCTTCACCCTCCACCACCGTACGGGCATGTTTGTAAAAACACATTTGTCATAATAGTGTAACGTATTATCAAGGTCGGGCAAGTTTTGTTTTCAAAGGGCGGCTACTCTGTTAGAATTCGGAGGTCATATTTATGCCCATAAAAATTAGAGGATTCGATGTCTAATATTTATGACTGAAGTGAAAGTAATTAGCTTTTATGACCATAGGTAGTTGTGATGGTTTTGTATGTTTTTAATTGTAGTCCCTCTAGGACATTGTCCTATCGTACTACAAGGACATAGACCTAACCCACTGGGACATAGACCTGTCGTCCCACTAGGACATAGTCCTGTGGTCCCACTAGAACATAGAACTGCCCCACTAGAACATAGACCTGTCCCACTAGGACATAGTCCTGTCGTCTCACTAGGACATAGTCCTGTCGTCTCACTAGGACATAGTCCTGTCTCACTAGGACATAGTCCTGTCGTCTCACTAGGACATAGTCCTGTCGTACCACTAGGACATAGTCCTGTCGTCCCACTAGGACATAGACCTGTCCCACTAGGACATAGACCTAACCCACTAGGACATAATCATGTCCCACTAGGACATTGACCTGTCCTACCACTAGGACATAGTTCTGTTAGTGTCACTAGGACATTGATCTGCCTTAACACTATATCATAGACCTCTAGTCCCTCTAGGATATAGGACTGTCGCCCCCATTTGGACATACTCTCGTTGTCCCAGTAGGACATAGTCCTGTTGTCCACATAGTCCTACCCTACCACTAGGCCATAGTCCTGTTGTCCACATAGTCCTACCCTACCACTAGGACATAGTCCTGTTGTCCACATAGTCCTACCCTACCACTAGGACATAGTCCTGTTGTCCACACAGTCCTACCCTCCCACTAGGACATAGTCCTACTTTCCCACGAGGACATAAGCTTGACCTATTCTATACACTGCTGTTATCAGTACACCCCTGCCCTCCCCATCCCTCTAAACTTAAGCATACACCCCGCATCTTAACAAAGCCCTCAATAATCTGCAGTATCACCAGGGCTTAGGCTAATGTTAGCTTGCCTGTCTGCGCTTTACACTGAAGTTTATGTAGCACTCCTGTGTGAAGTAGGAGAGGGGTTAGATGGGGGATGAATATAAGCAGGCATGGGGGGGGGGGTACAAATAATGACCTGGTAACATCTCCATCCCCTGGTGTTGTCCTGGCTGTCAATCACAGGCCAAAGGCTACCTGCAGACAAGATAATGTCCCCCCCCCCCCCACCTTTCCATCCTCTATGTCTTATATGTGTCACACATCACTTTACCAGCAACTCAAATGCAACTTAGCTGCACCCAAACGTAAGTTGAAATTTTATTTCTATCAATTTGTCTTTATTACTTTCCACATTTTTAACACATTGTATGCCTCCGTATTTGTAAAAATTAAACATTGCTTTAGTTTGTACATAAAAATAAACAAACACATAACAATACTTCTTGATAAAATTATCTAATTTTCTGTACAGTTATTAAGTTTATTTTTTTTATTAAATATGATTGTTAGCTTTATTATAAATACAATTATGCGTATGAAAAGACGGCGAATATTATACGTTGTTGTTAACATATGAGAAACGCTGACGTCAACAACCTACTTGGCAATATGTAAGCTAACAGCTGTGGTTGTTATATAATGTTATATTTATTTTAAAGTATTGAATGTGGACTGGCCACAACACCCCCCCCCCCCCCCCACACACACACACAGCCCGTCCTGTTACACAAAGACACACATACACAAAAAGTAATCAAGAATTCGAAAACATATTTTGGAAGTATTTTTTTCTGTATAGCTGCTCAACCAAAACGCTTTTTTTAAAAATATCGTTAGTAAAGATTCGTGTTAAGAAGGATTTAGATCGAAATGAGGAGTTAGTAGTGGAGATACTGGTGTGTTCTTTTTATACTATTTATAGCTTATACATCTGGTATTGTGCTGCTGTCACCAGGTACATTGTCAATTATCACATGTGCTGCTGTCATTGACTACATGTGCTGCTGTTGTCATTGATTACATGTGCTGTTTTCACTCGGTGATGAAAAATATGCAGTTGTCAACATTGTGTTAAATTTTTTTTTATTATCTTGCATTGACACACGTCACGTGATAAGTTTTACCAGAACTGACACCGTGTTAGACACGGGTGCCTTGTTGTACCACGTGTCCTACTTCTTCTGGAACAGGTGTGCTAATCACGTGTGTAAGCGGTGTGTCGAACACAACAGGTGTGTAGGCGACAGGTGTTTTAGGATTAAACCATTAATAAAATGTAAATCTTAACCACTGGATCGGGTTAATACCAGCAACATTAAACTGGTGCAGTAGTTCAAGCGTTTACGTTGTGCTGTGATGTTTTTCTCTTAAATCTCTATACATTGTTTATTCTACAAAACAGTGCTTTATATGAATCAGCTGGCTCTGTGAGAAGTACAGGTAAAACGAACACTTTAGTATAATATATATATATATATATATATATATATATATATATATATATATATATATATATATATATATAATTTCTTATTAGCCCAAGCAGGGAGCAGGACATTACCTCCCTCCCTTGCCAATTACCCCCCCTCCCGGACATTTGTCCCGTCACCCGGAGCAATTACCCCCTGTCAATTATCCCTGGGTAATCCAATCCCCCCCCCCCTCCCCCGCTCAAAGATTTTATAAATACCACAAAATCCAAACGTACAAATTGGAACATTAGTAATTAAATTTAATATACATTTCTAGAAATTGTTCATAAACAGTTAACAATGGTAGGACATGGACAGTCTACTGGTCTACTGTGGTAGGACATGGACAGTCTACTGGTCTACTGTGGTAGGACATGGATAGTCTATAGGACATGGACAGTCTACTGTGGTAGGACATGGATAGTCTATAGGACATGAACAGTCTACTGTGGTAGGACATGGACAGTCTATAGGACATGGACAGTCTACTGTGGTAGGACATGAACAGTCTACTGTGGTAGGACATGGATAGTCTATAGGACATGGACAGTCTACTGTGGTAGGACATGGGCAGTCTACTGTGGTAGGACATGGATTAGTCTATAGGACATGGACAGTCTACTGTGGTAGGACATGGACAGTCTACTGTGGTAGGACATGGACAGTCTACTATGGTAGGACATGGACAGTCTACTGTGGTAGGACATGGACAATCTATAGGACATGGACAGTCTACTGTGGTGGGACATGGACAGTCTACTATGGTAGGACATGGACAGTCTACCGTGGTAGGACATGGACAGTCTATAGGACATGGACAGTCTACTGTGGTAGGACATGGACAGTCTATAGGACATAGGCAGTCTACTGTGGTAGGACATGGACAGTCTATGTGGTAGGACATGGACAGTCTACTGTGGTAGGACATGGACAGTCTACTGTGGTATGACATAGGCAGTCTACTGTGGTATGACATGGACAGTCTACTGTGGTAGGACATGGACAGTCTACTGTGGTAGGACATGGACAGTCTACTGTGGTATGACATAGGCAGTCTACTGTGGTATGACATGGACAGTCTACTGTGGTAGGACATGGACAGTCTACTGTGGTAGGACATGGACAGTCTACTGTGGTATGACATAGGCAGTCTACTGTGGTATGACATAGGCAGTCTACTGTGGTAGGACATTGACTATTGGTAGGTGCGCGTTCATGCAGAACTCCAACAATAATATTGTTTAAAATTTGACCTTAGCTTTACATTTAGAAATCCTAGTCCCATTATCTTGAAGCTTTTCCCAGTCCTAACTGATTCTTTACACCTCCTACTAAACCTCTCTGTTTATCTTATAGATATCCATACGAATACTATGAACTTTATTTGTGTTAAAATAAAAATAAACTAAAATCTCTTTCAGTTTATTTTGAATCACAGACAGGGTGAACACCAACGACTACTAGCATATTTTTAAATTTACTGATTTCAAAATATATATCCGTCCTCCCCCGGGTCATGCCATACAACAGCACTACATTTAAGATAAATATATATATTTTGTTGGAAGGGATTCCCTCCAACACAATTTAATATTACGTGCCAACTTGTTATAAGCCATAGAGCCATATAGTTAGTCAGTTACCTCTGATTTCGGCTTGCTTTGCATTATGGATTTGCCTCCATAGCCTTTTTCCAACAAAGAACAAACTACAAGGCAGCAGTTTGATTTTGGAGTTGTCTCTTCTAAAATCCACTCCTTCATAAGCGTGTAACAGCATTAACATATGTAGGCCTACTTTAACAGATAAACTAAATAAGCAAACATCCTAAGTAGCGATATTTTAGGTATATAAAGTTTCATCTCTGTAGAATACATATTATATCTATACATATCGCTATTCCTATCTAGCTCCATATCCATCTCCTAAACGTTAAAGAATATATATTGAGTTCATTCACATTGGGGAGGGGGGGAATGTCCAACCCCCACCCCGGGGTGGGGGGTGACAATTCGGGGACAGGAAATGTCCTAAACCCACAATGCAACAAATGACACCACAGGTGGGGGAATTCTTTTCATTTTATTGCACTTTTATTTTTATTCTTTGCTTTTGTGTAATCGTATCAATACATTTTGGCAACAAAGATTTCACTACTATATTAACCAACGAAATCACAATTTAAAAGCTTGTTATTTCAAGATTTTGTTTACATGTTTTATAAAGTAGACTATAAAAACGAGCTGTTTTTTTTATTATCTAGTGACAGTTCTGTACAACTTGAGTACACAATCCAACTCGTGGGACGGTTGTAGCTGACTGATCCCTCTAAGACTTCAACTGAGTAGCGGTCAATGGAACCCTCGGACAACCCGTGGCTGGAGGTGTCCAAGACATACCGCGTCCATCAGGAAACTCTAGAATACACGGCGCTGTGTCGATCCATGGGGGCCAGACCCCCTTCTCAGACGTCCTTGAAAGACGCCAGGGCCTCGGCCTTGACCTTCAACGTCACGGCCAACGGAGTCCACGCCTACGACGGGACGGAAACCGAGTTCATCATTCCGGCATCGGACGATATCGACGGCGTTCCGGTGACGGTCTACACCCCCAACACACTTCCGGAAGTCCCGGCCATCCTGGTGTACTTCCACGGCGGAAGTCTCGTTTTCGGCAGCCGGAAAACTCACGAGAACGCTGTCAAAATGATATCGGAAAAATCAGGAGCGATAATCGTCAGCGTGGAATACCGTCTGCTCCCGTGTCCGGAAGATCCCCTCGCGCCGTTTAACGACTCGATCGCAGTGACGAGGTGGATCAAGCAGTTCAAGGAAGCGATAGGTGGCGCCGCCGACAGTAAAGTGGGCGTGGGCGGGGACAGCGCCGGCGGGCAAATCGCCTGCTGCGTTGTCAATGACGTCATTGGTTTAGACTTCCAAATCCTCGTCTACCCGGTCACGGATTTCGCCTGCTCTTTGCCATCTTTTCAAGAGTTCCGGAAAATTCCGGCTTTCAACACGGACGATCTCGAATGGAGACTCGCCCTGACCAACAAACCCATATTGAATGCAGCAGAGGACCCGAGAGTGAATCCGTCTGCTAGAAAAAACTTGGAGTTAACTCCCCCTACTTTAATCATCCTAGCAGAACTGGACCCGGTACGAGACAGTGGTCTAGAATACGACCGGAAGTTGAGGTCAGCGGGCGTTGAAGTGGACCTGGAGCTAGTCCACGCTGTCCCGCATGGGTTCTTCTCCCTGCCTGGCATATTCAAAACAAAAACAACGGAAGCGTATGGTCACGTGGTCAAGTTCATTCAAAAGTTTCAAAGATAACAGTTTCATCCACTATTATTTTATAAAAGATAACAGTTTCATCCATTATTATTTTTATAAAAGATAACAGTTTCATCCACTATTTATTTTTTAAAGATAACAGTTTCATCCACTATTTTTTATATAAGAGATAACAGTTCCATCCACTATTTATTTTATAAAAGATAACAGTTTCATCCACTATTTATTTTATAAAAGATAACAGTTTCATCCAATATTTATTTTATAAAAGATTTCTAAAATAACAAAATATGTATTATTTTAAATACTAAGCCTATGTTTTTAAATTTTGTAAAATATTACCTTACTTTGTACAGATATGTGAATGTGGTGTTTGTCTAAAAATGTTTGAGAACCTGTATAATTTATCCACACAAAAATATACATAGGGGCAATAAACCACATGTATGTTACATTTGTCATAAAATGTTAGTTTATAAAAGTAGCTTATGGAGGGATAAAAAAGACAATATATGGGGAAAAAAAGCATATAAATGTGTTGTTCAGCTTCCATATTTTAAAAGGTATAAAATGCTCATAGCGGATATAAGCCTTACGAATGTGACCTTTGTTGTAAAAAGTTTTCAGAGAAAGTTAATATATCTATACATATTATATCATTCCTGATATACAGCACATAACGTGAGATTTGTCATAAAACTTTATTTAGAAAACAGTTTTATTAAAATAATTCACAGAGATAACATAAATGTGATGTTTATCATAAATTTTTTACTATTCCTACATATTTTAAATAGCCATAAAAACATTCATAGTGGAAATAAACCACATTATGTGAAATTTGTCATAAAAAGTACAATAAGTTAATAAATTTATGTAACCATAAAAATACATTCTGGAACTAGTACGCACATATGTGGTGTGAGTCTTGAAAAACTTGCTGAGAGGTCTGGATTGATAAACATTTTTTTTTTAAAATTCATTTTGGAACGAAGCCCTCATAAATGTAAGTAGTACGTAATGTTTATCAACGAATGTTTCAGGGGTCGGCGCGGTCGAGTCGGTAAAATTCATGGTTGCCAAACCAAAAAGTCTCGGGCAAATGAGGCTCGTTAGCTGGGGACAGCCACTCTTCTAGGAGAGACAACTCCATAATCAAACAACTGCTCCCTTATAGTTTGTTCTTGGTTGGACAAAGGCTAGGCCTAATCAAAAAAGAAAAGCAGGCTGAAATGGGGACCCAAGGCCTCAATGGCGCATAACCAGTTATTTAGAGTAGTTTCCCTTTTAAATGTTTGCTTTTTAAATTTTCGTTGTTTTTTTTTTAAATAGGATTGTTTTGATATACTAAAAGCAGTGGCGTCGCTAGGATTTTCGGGCCCCTATGCAAAAATTATCGGTGGGCCCCTTTTGTAAGCCTTCAGGCTACAATGGAGTTAAACAAAGAAATAAACTGCTACTTAAGATGGAGGATTTTAAATAATATTAATATTCTTTAGGCCTATATTTTATACGTTATGATTGTGTATTTATATTATATTATTATGTAGTTTTGTAAAAATGTTACAGTCTTACAGTTTATTTTTTTTTAAGTAAACAGAGTAGCGTCATATGGCGGGGTCAGAGGTGCGGTCCGCATTGGATGTCAACATTTAGGCGTGACATCGTGACAAAATATTGTACAATTTACTGTCAAACTAAGTTGTATCCAGCTAAAATAATAAAGATTGGGGAGAGAGGGGTTACACCCCACCAAAAATGCTAAACTGTTGGGGACGATGGGGTGACACGTAGGGTAACACCCGACTTTGTGACGCCACTAACCAAATGCAATTTTTTTTTATTGCTAATGATTTATTTATATCTGTGGGGTTGTTTTCATGCTTTTAATTTTGTAAAATGATAAATAAGTTCATTGAGATCTACTTTAGCTGCGTCCGTATGTTCGATTCTTAGGATGGCCAAGCTGCTGACCCAAATGGGCATATCTAAGAATTCCATCATAAACATCAAAATCTCCTACCTGATCAACGTAGAATGTTAAAGAATGATTATACTAACTAGCGTACCCGTCCGCGTTGCTGCGATCTAGTCCTACATACCACTGTAACAAAACAATTTGTAAGGGTTTCATCGACTCGTTACCAATTGTGTATGTTTAGTCGCGTGACCTTGTTTTTAAAACTGAGATAGGTTTAGTTAAAATGTAAACAACAATGCTATTTTTTTCTGATCTTTGTTGCGGGGGCGGGGGTTGGTCCACACTATTGCTCAGACGCCATAGGGCGTGCTATATGAAAGCATTGAGTGTACGTTAATCATCTTCCTTAATAGTGAGGTTAAATACCTTTCGGCGACCATCTAGGTGTCTTCGCGGGAGTGACAGGTTACACCACCGTAGGTAGCCAGATGCAACCTCTGGTTCTGTTTATCAAAATCGTAGATCCGTATCAACCTTTTAAGCGATTTTAAGCGATTTCCGATAACCGGAAGTGGTACTTTTTCTACTTTGAATTTTTCAAAAGCCTATAACTTGAGTACTATTTCAGATAGATAAATGAAATTTCACATGTAAGTAAAATATCTAATCCTCTACCTTCTAACAAATTTTGAGTAATTTCCGTTTACCGGAAGTAGTAATTTACGCTATTTCCGATTTTTCAAAAAAAAAAACCGCATGTAAATTTATAAAGTACTAATAATATTCCGCACTATTATGCACATTTTGTTCGCTTGGTGAGCAATTCTTTTTTCCATGAGATTCTATTCTATTTTTAAAAGTTTAAGTAATTAAAAATCATGTCTATATTCCGAGTTGCCATCCCACGTAGTGTTATATAAGAATATTCGAGAAAGTTTAGTGGAGATCACTCTCGGTTTATTTTAAGAGGGAAAGGGGTCACCAAAGTGCCGCGGGCCCCTACGCCTTACTTACGCTAGCTTTACTCCACTGACTAAAAGCCATGTGTTTCTTTTTGTTTCACGGTATTTCTTTCTTTAACATTAGCCTAATGACAAATGACGTCACGTGCTCCGCGTTGTGCTTACTATGGGATGAAACGGCGGGGTTGAGAAAAATGACGTATTTCTTTTTTTTTAACATACACATAAGAGATCGATTCTAATTCTCCTAAGTTGTTTTTAGAGGGATATCGCATTATATAGTGGGTGTTCTTTGTTGTTGTAATAATAGAACAAATCAGAAACTAAAGAAAGCAGGAAGCAAACAAAAACAAAAAACAAAAACAAAAAAACCAACCATGTATTCAAATGTAACTAATTAAACCTATTTTCATAAACACAATAATATTAATGAGAAAAAGTGTAGGCCTAAGACTAATGACTAATGTCTACAGACAAAATAAACAACTAGACTTAAATGGATCGCCCATAAATGACGTCATTCTTTTCCCGATGATTTCCCTTTCCCCAAAATCGTCACTAAAAGCAAGATGATGATTTAATATCAAATCGCAGTTCTACTATACTCCAACCCTTAATCACAATTTCTAACGTAAACGAATATGTTCTTCGTCATTTTTTAGCGCAATTTCCATTCTGGAGAATTGCGTTCATTAACCCGTCATTTCTGGATGTATGAATGAATGGATGTGTGTTCGCAGCTTTAAGTCGTATCTCCTCCTCAACGAAGCAATATCGAGGACTAGTTCCAAAGCAATTATGTTAAGCACGTTACGAGGATGATAGTGGGCCAAAAAAAATCCGGAATTCCTTCCTGAATTTCCCGGAAAAGCCAAAAAAACTCGAAAAAATGCAGTTTTTGGTCCATATCTCGGCAACCAGACTACTTAGCGACTTGAAACATTTACCAATCGATTCCTGCCATAATTTAAAACAATATTGCCGAAGAAAGTTTTCAAAAATATCCTTTCGTTCGGTCACAAAAATTTTTTTTGAATTAATTAAAATTTGGACCGAATTAGTAGGCATGTTTATCCAACCACACCACACGCGTCATCACGTTCAATAGCTGCGCTATCACGTTCAATGGCTGCGCCATCACGTTCAATGGCTGCGCCATCACGTTCAGTAGCTAGGCGCGCAATGGTTTTTAGTCTTGTAACTCTATTGTAAATATAACATGTAAAATACTGAAAAAAAAATTAATAAAAAGTTTTAATAACTAACCAATGGTTTTACTAACCCTGCTCTTGATTTACGCTACGACAGAGCTATTTTTAGATAACATGACATAAGGAAATTGCGCTAAAATTGTCACTAGACTTTTTAATTACCTTGTTTGTTTTTTTTGTTCTAGATCTATAGGCCTACATAAAAATATTTTACCCTATCCCATATTTTGAGGAATACGGACGACCTAGATCTAATAATTGACAAGTTAATCAGTACAAAAGGGTTTAAATGTTGGACTCCCCAAAAGTCTTTGAGGTCTTGGATGTATACATACGTAGCGTTCATTTCAATTGAAATTATAGTCAAAAAGGCTGTCCTACTTATATTAAACAAGGCAGCAATGTATATTGAACAACAAGGTCAACACATTATCAATATAGATATCTAGGCCTACATACGAATAGAGACCTTTTTATCAAGGGAAACTACTCCAATTCTTTTTGGGAAAGATGGCCGCTGATTTTATTTACTACTAGAATCTAAATCTACTACTAGATCTACTACTATACTACTATTGATCTCAGACAACTTGTTAAAGTTAGTTTTATGATATTTAAAATTGTTTTTGTCACTGATTGTTATTTTAAAACAATTAGCCGTTATATTTTGTAAAATTTGACTTAAATAATATGAAATATACTTAGGCCTATTTATTATTTAAGGTAATCTATCGTTTTAGTTTTAGGTACGTAAAATCGCCCGCGACTAGTAATGTGAAAGACAGGTGACTCCTTGAATTTTAATAATTATTTCACATTTTGAGGAGGATATATGTTTTGTAAAATACAAAAATGATTCCTTGTTTCATTTATGTACCTGTTTTTAAACAACTGAATTGAAACTTTTCAGTAATAAATGAAGACTAGCGATGTTTCCAACAGATGCAACCGTGCTCATTTACTATAGCAGCCATCTTGTTTAAGTTCTTTTTTTTTTGCAAACTTTAAGCGCCAGATTCAGGGGAAGGCAACTCTATTTTACAAATGGCTGTTGTTTATATAGGAAATCTTGCTCGCAAACACTGCTATTTAAAGTTAATTTCTGGTCTATATTGATATATTTAGCCATTGATTTAGGTTTATTATTCATTTATCTATAATATTTGACACAAATATATCACAATATACTTCTATTAAAGCCTTGACAGTGAGGCAACTTTTTCGCGCATTTCTAGCCGCAGGCGATTTTACGTACCCAAAACGATAGATTACCCTATTTAATAATATTTATTATTATTTAAACAAGTTAGTAGACCCTATGCCATGCCCTATAATCTATATAGCTATAGGCCTATTAATTATTATTCATCAGTTTTCTCGGTAATCTATCGTTTTGGGTAGGCCTACGTAAAATCGCCCGCGACTTGTAATGTGAACACCAGGTGACTCCTTAAATTTTAATAATTATTTCACATTTTGAGGAGGATTTAGTTCTGTTTTTTAAAATACAAAAATTTTTCCTTGTTTCATTTAAATTCATGTACCTGTTTTTAAACAATTGAATTAAAACTTTTCCGTAATAAATGAGGACTAGCGATGTTTCCAACAGATGCAACCATGCTCATTTACTATAGCAGCCACCTTGTTTAAGTTTTATTTTTATAAGCTTTTAGCGGGAGATTCAGGGGGAAGTCACTCTATTTTACAAATGGCTGCTGTTTATATAGCAAATCTTGCTCTCAGACACTGCTGATTAAAGTTAATTTCTGGCCTTTATCGATATATTTAGCCATTGATTTAGGTTTATTATTCATTTATCTATAATATTTGACACAAACATATGACAATACACCTCTATTAAAGCCTTGACAATGAGGTAACGTTTTCGTACATTAATAGCCGCGGGCGATTTAACGTACCCAAAACGATAGATTACCGTTTTCTCTCCCGCACATTTATCACATTACTTTTTAAAATTTTTTACTAGTCTAGAGTCTAGACTCTAGATACTGCCGTCAAATGGACTCAACCGAGTAAGGCAAAAAGGAGATCTAATCTAAATAAAAAGTATTCTCAAAGTCAAAAAGTATTTGAGAGGCCCATTAAATATTTTAAAAATCATACACAGCGTGTAGTTACAATATATATATGGTTAGGGGCTAGGGGCCTATAAAAATATTTATAAAAATAATAAATCCTGTCTGTTTGGGTTTTTGGCTTTTTTTGAATTTTTTGATTTTGAAATTTTTTATTATTTTTATGGTCGCTTTGATTGTAAAATCTTAAAAAAGCGCGTTATTATATTACTCCATGTCAACAATATGATGGAAGGATTGTCGTCAACTCGGTAGCCTCCATTGATTATGCTAAAATAATATAGATCTATTACCTTTGCCATCTGACTGTAAGTAAAGTAAAGTTTCCCTTTCAAATTTGACGGTCTGTGGGGCAAGTGAAGTAGAGTTCACTTGTTTCTGTGACCTCGGCACATGAAGAGATAGTGTGGTCAGCACTATGCCTTACTTTCCCTAACGTGAGTTAGGTACCCATCAGAGTTGGGTGGACTCAGGGACGGTCTACTGACTTGAACCCGGATTCGAACTCGAGACGTACGGGTTAGCAATCCAGCTCTCTACCGCTAGACCACTCCGTGCCATCTGTAAATTAGAGTAATTTTACCAAAAAACATAAAGAAGATGGCTGCTAAAGTAAATGAGCTTGATTGCGTCCGATGAAAATTTGGCTTGTCTTTATATATTGTTGATAAGTTTTAATACAATTGTTTAAAAACTGTTAGATTCTACATGAATGAAACTTTGAAACATTTTTGTAACTTTCAAAACATAAATCGTCCTAAAAATAAGAAATTAAATTACTTAAACTTAATGAGTCACCTTTTTTCACATTACTAGTCTCGGACTATTTTACGTACCTAAAACGATAGATTACCTAAAAGCCTAACTATCTAAACGTAGAAGATTCAAATTTATAGATGTATATATTTATAATATATCACTTTTCAGTTCTGAGGACAGAGTTTCTTCCAGGCATCCCCCCCCCCCCCCCCCCCCCCAACAAAATATAATTTATATAGAAAATAAAAATTTCAAAAAAGTCAGGAAAAAAACACTGTCGGGGACCACAACACACTTGAGGTCCAATTTTGTTCTCAAATTTCTCACGTATTTCATTCTTGCAAATGTTTGTTCACACAGATATGTTATTCCAAAAATTAAAAGGTACCTTGATGCAAATGTTTTGACATTAGGAGTAGGCTAGATCTAGAAAGAAACGAAAGGGACTGTCCTTAGTTACAATTATATTATAAATATTGTAATATCATAATTATTTACTATCACGACATTCCTTTCACTTTCTTATTGATAACCAATGGCTCAGAGTCCCAGGGCATTGATCTCTTATTTTATAATTTAATATAATTTTTTATTTGATAACCCTGGCTCACTGAAAACTGAAAGAAGTGAGTTTTTCATCTACAATAATTGTAATAGTCAAGTCGCCTCATAAAGCTTGACCACCATTAGTTTTCAGGTTTTCTTAGTGCCAGCCCACTTTGTCTCTGGATGTAGGTCTGTCTACCTAGTCTTGAGTCTAGACTAAAACCTGTGAAGCCCTTGATATTGGCAAAGGGCTGCAGCCACACCTCTCCACTGGATTCTGTTTTGGGCAACTCTCTTTAGTTGAGTCCACGTAAGCCCAGTAGCCCTTGCTTATCCTTTCACAGTCCTCCAGGATCACTTACGTAGGCCAGCTACAATTCTTTTGCCCCACAGGATTTCATTCCAACCCGTGCCTCAAGATGTTGAAATCTTCATTTCTCACTGTCTCAGTACCATACTGAGAAATGTAATTTTTTCTAAAACCTATATAGTCTAGCTCTAAAACTAATTTGTATTGTTACAAAATTATTTTTAAAATATATCAATCTGTCTGTTATAATTCATGTTTCATATCTGATACATGTACTTTTTTTTCTTAAGTTGAAAAAAAATACTGATACAAAAAAATTAAATACACTAAAAGTTAGCAATTAAAACTAACTTTCTCTCTTAACAAAAAGAAAAATTAGAAAAACCAATCTGGTAGTAGGGCTATCTGCGCTAGCTACTCTTGAAGTCTCCGACACCTGCAGTGACTTAAAACGCTTTTATTAAAGAAAAAAGTTAATTTTTTTTCCTCCTTTTTTTTACTGCATTTAGAATCTAAAGCTTATTACTATTATAAAGGTTTTAAAATTGAATTTTTTAAATCCTTATTCACATACCGCTGCTAATAAAATAATAAATACCCCTTACTAAGTTATGTAGCTAATATAATGTAGACACCCATATTAGTTATCTATATATATAATTCTCTTCTGGGAGCCGCTAGAAAACAAGCTGTAAACGCTCTCCCTACCATCCCCACCCCTACATGGTCTTAGTGAGCTGTGGTTCACGCTATGTTTACCTTCGTGGAGTCGGGTTTAGTGACAGCTATTAGGGGCAGATAATTTAGTTTGAAACGATTTTAAACGTTGGGGGGGGGGGGGGGGTTTATGGTCCTTAACAAGCTACTTATAGTGTTTTAAAGAAATATTTTCAGTGTCAGCGTTGGTACTGTCCAATTCACAAATTATGAATTACTGAAAAGTAGAAAAAACAACAACTAAATAGTGGCGTATGTTATGCCGCGGGCCGGCTCGTTTTTATATAATGTGACAAACCAACTTTTTTTTAGATCACTTCTTAAAACCACCTTAGTCTTATCACACTTTAATTCCAGGGAGACGCTTTAGATTTTAGTTTCATTATTGTTAAAAAACTACATTAATTTAGTTAATTTGATCCAAATTTTAATAATCAGAATTAATTTACAACCTAAAAAATTATTTTTGAAAAAAAAAAAAATTTGTTATTAAATGGCAACAAAGCTATGACTGACATAGTGTGTTTGTTTTTAAGGAGTGTTAGAACATTCTGCACAAATTTGTCTTTTGTTAGAGTTCTTCCCATTGAAATATACAGCAGACTTAGTCTTGGCTGTTTCTTAATCAAGTTCTCATTTTTGGTTAATTTTTCTATAAATGAGAATTATTAATTTATTATGGCAGGGCATTTAATTTTATGTCATCGAACAAAGTTTAACATATAAATTATTTTTATGCAACAAGACATTAGTTCTTACAATATTTTCCTCTACATTGTACTCAGCAAAAAGAACAAAAATACTGCAGACGGAAAGAGCATCACAAGCACTAAACATTCATTGTTGTAATTTAATCCATTTTGTTGTACAATTTCCTTTATAAAATTAATTACATTTACAATATATTTGTGAAATGGCTGCTCAACTTTATAAAAAATGAAATGGTGGACTGGTCTTTTCTAGTAACTCACATTACCAAGGCAACAGCTTTAAAAAATAGGACAAGCAACAGCTAATACCCTCAATAGCTCTATAGGCCATTCATTAAAACATTGAGCATTTTTAAAAAATTCTACGTTCGCCATCCCAAACGTCATAAATCATCACAAAAAGCCACCCTCTCTTCCTAAAATGATGATATATCTCAGCCTACAACTACCTCAAAATTGTAGTTTTTCATTGTAATTTGTTTAAAACATTGATTTCTTTAATAACATTTACTGAGCCTTTTATTCATTTACAAGAAACATTTTAAAAACATAAAATTAGAACTTTCTAACAATTCTTTTTAAAATACAAAAGTGTGTCATCATACATTCTAAGCTTAATAACTTAGTTAATGGTTTCATGTTTAAATAGATTTTATTTTATAAGTTAATTTATCTTGTAATCTTGAGTGTTTTTTTAGCGCAATTTCCATTCTGGAGAATTGCGTTTATTAACTCGTCATTTCTGGGAATGGATGGATGGATGGATGAATGTGTGTCCGGGCTTTAAGTCGTATCTCCTCCTCAACGAAGCAATATCGATGACTAGTTCCAAAAGCAATTATGTTAAGCAAGTTACAAGAATGAGCATAGGCCATAAAAATTCCGGGTTTCTTTCATGTATTTCCCGTAAAAGCCAAAAAACCTCGAAAAAATGCAGTTTTTGGCCCATATCTCGGCAACCAGACCACTTAGCGACTTGAAACATGTACCAATCGATTCCTGCCATAATTTAGAACAGTATTGCCGAAGAAATTTTTCAAAAATATCCTCTCGTTCGGTCACAAATTTTAAAATTACATAAACACCTACAAACCGATCGCTCTTCAAGCTTGAACGCACCCAATCATTATACGTCAGAGCTATTTTTAGATAACATAAGGAAAATGCGCATAAATGTCACTAGACTTTTTTAATTAACTTGTTTTTTTAGCTTAGCCATAAATTTACCAGTTTAAAATGTATCCAGAATGGAAGTGGAAGCTGATTTTAAAACTTTGCTGAGCTCATTAGATATCTAAAACTAATAATTTTTATTGTTAAATAGGATAAATAGTTTATAAATGTATCTATTATAGTTCAAATATCATATTTGTATACTTACTTCATTGCTAAAGTAGATACAAGCCTTTAATCTTTAAATTAAAAATTTTTTTTTAAATTTTAAGAATTTAGAAATCAAAACAAATTTCTTTCTTAACAAAAACAAAACTAGTAGTGTTATACAGACTTTTGGAATTAAATTTATCTTTTTAAATGACATTTGCAAAATCTTTATTCACAGACAACTACTAAAATAAAAATATATATTCTTTACTAAAGTCTATATTATAATGTAGACAGTCATATTAGTAATGTTTTTACATTGTGAGAAGCTATTTGTTTTTAGCTCTCTGCATCTTAGCCTCATCACATCTTAAAACCTTCCTTAGTCTCAACAAACCATAATACTTGTACTCTCCTTAGCCTTATCACATCTTAAAACCTTCCTTGGTCTCAACATAGCATAATACTTGTACTCTCCTTAGCCTTATCACATCTTAAAACCTTCCTTGGTCTCAACATACCATAATACTTGTACTCGCCTTAGCCTTATCACATCTTAAAACCTTCTTTAGTCTCAACATACTATAATACTTGTACTCTCCTTAGCCTTATCACATCTTAAAACCTTCCTTGGTCTCAACATAGCATAATACTTGTACTCTCCTTAGCCTTATCACATCTTAATGCCCTACTAGCTCAAGAAGTCAATCACAAAAATTTTGCTGAGCACAGTAACATTTAGTTTATTAGCCAATTTCTGTTACAATTAACAAAAAAGTCTTTAAAAATAGCGGCCTCAATTCAGATTCCTATATTACTTTTAAAAATGCATTAGTGTATGGCCTCAGTTTCTTTACTTAATTACTTAGTTTATGGTATCAATTATAAATATATTTTATTTTTACAATTTAGTTTGGCTTGTGATCATAATTTTTTTTTTTTTTTAGCTTTAGTCCACAATTTACCAGATAAAAATTTATACAGAATGGATGAGGAAGCTGATTTTAAAACATTGCCGAGCCTATTCGAGCTCCTACAGGAATGCAATAAAGAAATAAAATCAGAATTTTCACCTAACATAACTTTAGCTGACATAAAGCCTGATGTAAAAACATCTTTAATAACTTTAGAGGAAGTAAAACCAGATGTATCTCCAGCTTTAGAAAAAATGAAAGTAGGTGTATCAACATCATTTACAACAGATAACATTGAACTGGATTTAGGAACATCACGTATAGCTTTAGAGGACTTAAAACCAGATGTATCAACTTCTTTTTCGACTACTGATTATACGAAATTAGATGTTTCTCCATCATTTTCAACATTTGACAACATGAAAGTAGATAAATTAACATTGTTTTCAAACTTTGAAGAAGGAAAGCCAATTTCATCATTCAAGAGTGAAAACCAAAATAGTTTTGATGAACAAATCCAACCTCTACCACATTTAACTACTTGTGAAGAATATATCCCACGTATTAAATCAGATATTTGGACTCATTCTGTAGATAAACAATATGAATGTGATATTTGTCACAAAAAGGTAGCACGCAAGTCTAGTTTAGTCAAACATAAAAAAATTCATTCTGGAGATAAACCATATGAATGTGACATTTGCCACAAAAAGATAGCATGCAAGTTTAGTTTAGTCATACATAAAAGAATTCATTCTGGTCATAAGCCTTATGAATGTGACATTTGTCATAAAACATTTTCTCAGAAAGCTCATTTATTATCACATGAAAACACTCATTCTGTAAATAAACCATATGAATGTGACATTTGTCTTCAAAAGTTTTCATACCGATCTAGTTTAGCCAGACATAAGAAACTACATTCTGGACTTAAACTATATGAATGTGACATTTGTCATAAAACATTTTCTCTTAATGCTAATTTATTATCACATAAAAAAACTCATTCTGTAGATAAACAATATGAATGTGACATTTGTCACAAAAAGATGTCTCGCAAGTCTAGTTTAGTCATACATAAAAGAATTCATTCTGGTCATAAACCTTATGAATGTGACATTTGTCATAGAAAGTATACTCAGAAAAGTGCTTTAGTATCACATGAAAATGTTCATTTTGGAGATAAATTGTATGAATGTGACATTTGTCACAAAAAGTTTCTCCGCCAGTCGAATTTAGCCACACATAAAAAAATTCATTCTGGAGATAAACCATATAAATGTGACATTTGTCACAAAAAGTTTCTTTACAAGTCGCAGTTAGCCGAACATAAAAAAATTAGTTGTGGCCAAAAACCTTATGAATGTGACATTTGTCACAAAAAGTTTCTCCACCAGTCTAGTTTAGCCGAACATAAAAAAATTAATTGTGGCCAAAAACCTTATGAATGTGACATTTGTCACAAAAAGTTTCTCTACCAGTCTAATTTAGCCAAACATAAAAAAATTCATTCTGGAGATAAACCATATGAATGTGACATTTGCCACAAAAAGATAGCATGCAAGTTTAGTTTAGTCATACATAAAAGAATTCATTCTGGTCATAAGCCTTATGAATGTGACATTTGTCATAAAACATTTTCTCAGAAAGCTCATTTATTATCACATGAAAACACTCATTCTGTAAATAAACCATATGAATGTGACATTTGTCTTAAAAAGTTTTCACGCCGATCTAGTTTAGCCAGACATAAGAAACTACATTCTGGACTTAAACTATATGAATGTGACATTTGTCATAAAACATTTTCTCTTAATGCTAATTTATTATCACATAAAAAAACTCATTCTGTAGATAAACAATATGAATGTGACATTTGTCACAAAAAGATGTCTCGCAAGACTAGTTTAGTCATACATAAAAGAATTCATTCTGGTCATAAACCTTATGAATGTGACATTTGTCATAGAAAGTATACTCAGAAAAGTGCTTTAGTATCACATGAAAATGTTCATTTTGGAGATAAATTGTATGAATGTGACATTTGTCACAAAAAGTTTCTTTACCAGTCAAGTTTAGTCAGACATAAAATAATTCATTCTGGCCAAAAACAATGTGAATTTGAATGTGACATTTGTCACAAAAAGATGTCTTGCAAGTCTAGTTTAGTCATACATAAAAGAATTCATTCTGGTCATAAACCTTATGAATGTGTTATTTGTCATAGAAAGTATACTCAGAAAAGTGCTTTAGTATCACATGAAAATGTTCATTTTGGAGATAAATTGTATGAATGTGACATTTGTCACAAAAAGTTTCTCAGCCAGTCGAATTTAGCCACACATAAAAAAATTCATTCTGGAGATAAACCATATGAATGTGACATTTGTCACAAAAAGTTTCTTTACAAGTCGCAGTTAGCCGAACATAAAAGAATTCATTCTGGTCAAAAACCTTATGAATGTGACATTTGTCACAAAACATTTTCTCAGAAAGTTCATTTATTATCACATGAAAACACTCATTCTATAAATAAACCATATGAATGTGACATTTGTCACAAAAAGTTATCATGCAAGTCTAGTTTAGTCAAACATAAAAGAATTCATTCAGGTCATGAACATTTTGAATGTGATATTTGTCATAAAAAGTTTCTCCACCAGTCTAATTTAGCCAGACATAAAAAAATTCATTCTGGAGATAAATTCTATGAATGTGACATTTGTCACAAAAAGATGGCATACAAGTCTAGTTTAGCTAAACATAAAAAAATACATTCTGGTTAAAAAGCACATGAATGTGACATTTGTCATAGAAAGTATTCTCAGAAAACTTCTTTAGTATCACATGAAAAAATTCATTCGGCAGATAAACCTTAAGAATGTGACATTTGTCACAAAAAGTTTCTTTAGAAGTATAGTTTAGCCATACATAAAAAAATCATTCTGGCTAAAAAGAATTCGAATATGAATGAGACATCTGTCTCAAAAAGACAGCATACAAGTCTGGTTTAGCAATACATACAAGAATTAATTTTTGCGAAAAACCATATGAATGAAACATTTGTCACAAAAAGTTTTCTCAGAAAGTTTATTATAACACGTAAAAACCACTTGAATGTGACATTTGCCATTGAAATTTTGCCCAGATAATGAATCTTTTTTCATTAATTAGTTAACAAACCTTGTCCTTTTATTGTTTAGCATTTATGATATTGTACATTATTAGATTCCATTAAATTCTATAATAGGGTATCTTGTTGTTAGAAGATGCAATGGATTGTGCATAAAGGGAGGTTTCATTAGATGTAAGTGGCGTGGGGTGGTGTGGGGGTCAAGCACATGATCACTGGGCAGTTACCATTTTTATGAAAAATCTATATATACTACTAAAACTCAACTTTGTTTACATTTTTGAATATTTATTTGTTTGTCTGATTTCTTACTGTAAGGAAACTGCTGTATATGGGGGGCTGTAAAATAGTATGTAGGTAGAGAATAATTTTTGATTGCAGACAGACTGTTAATCACACATTTTTTTGAAGACATTAATTAACTAATTGATTTATTCATAGGTAGATTAACCACATTTGTTTTAAAGTTTTAGAACAATGGCTTAACTTTGACTGAATAGTGATGTTTGATAACTCATTTTTTTTTGTTTGTTTGTTTTTCTGATTTGTTATTGGAGAAAATCTTCATTATGTGTAGAGCTGTGAAATGGTATTTTGAGTGGTAAATATTGTTCCTTCTTAAACACACTGTTAATTACAAACTAATTTAAAGCCGTTAATTAATTTATTGATATATTCATGGGTAGATTAACCACATTGTATATAAAAGTTTAGAACAATGATTGTAGTAATAGTAAAAATGTTTTCAATTATTTTTCCTAAGGCCTACATGTGAATGATAAGGTTGACTATCAGGACCTCGCGGGGCACAGGGCAGGTGAAGTAGAGTTCACCTGTTTGTTTGTCCTAAGCATATGAAGGGATAGTGTGGTCAGAGACATGCTCGGCTGGAATCGTTTTTTTAAACGATAAAAACATGTTGTCTGAGACTTGTCGGGACACTGGGCAGGTGAAGTAGAGTTAAGTAGGTCACCTGTGACGTCAGTATATGAAGGGATAGTCCGAAATCGTTGTTTTCGGTGTTTTTAAAAGATAAAAAACATGTTTGAATGTGGGGTCTATTTTTTGTGACGATAAGTGACACTGCAGTAGCGTAGCGAGAAGGGCGGGGGGGGGGGGGGGACATGTCCCCGGGCGCCGACCTTAGGGGGCGCCAAAATGGGTTGGAAAAATAAATTGAAAGGTTGAGGGGGGTGCAAATCGAAAGTTTGAGGTGGGGGGGGGGGGGTTCAAATCGAAAAGTTTGTCCCCGGCGCAGAAAATGGTCGCTACGCCTCTGAGTGACAGATATGATGTTTTTTGATGGATGACCCCCGAAACCCACAGTTATCCAACGGGTGACGGGTAGTCTAGTTAATTCTAATAGCCTAATGTCCTGATCATGTACTTTTGTACCAAAACAAAGAACACAATGTGTAATTTTTTAAAAATCAGTATTGCGATATTGTATTGAATTACATTGTGTTGCATAAAGTTTTACATATTTTTTGTGTGATTTTTATGTGTAGTGTTTTTTGTTGAGTTTTGTTATATTGTATTTGTTGTTTCTACAGAGTTATAACTTAAATATTTGGACCTTATGGTGGGGTTTAACAAGGCAGCATCAGTAGATGGGGCATGAAAGAGATGAATATACTATTTGTAGAACCGGCTTCTGGGCTAGTATACATTATGTTTATCTAAAAACCACAATAGTATATTTTATATTCTAAACTATTTTATCTAAATGAATACACAGATATAGTGGCTCTTATGTTTAGAGGTCATGACCCACCTATATCAGTATAATAAAGTTAGTCTAAAGACAGTTTTCTTGTAATTACATTACTTCAAAACATATTTCATCGCAGTTTATTTATCTTGCAATATAGACAAATTCTTATATTTCTATATCAGTAGCAACACCTCCTTCCAACCCCTTTTCTTTTTATCTTAAAATTCAAACCTACAAAACCTAATGATTGAGAGAATGTATTTTAAACTGTTTTATCTGAATATTGCACAGTATATTGGCTAGTTATAGTAGTAAGCAAAGTTTAAGATGGGATTTGTTACAGATAACATGAAATAGAAAAAGAGAATCAAAGCATGGGACCAGCTAAAACATTTTTTAAATCAAATTAAATAGAATATATTTTGGTGTGTTTATTTTTATATTTATATATTGGCTGGGATTTTAGGGCCTTTTAAAAAACATTGATTCTGACTCTAAATTTCCTTAAAGATTGAATTTGGTATTATATATTTCAGTCATGTAAGTTGCATTGAAAACTTTTTTTGGATCCAGTAGTGGATCTAAAACAGAAAATTCAACATTAGTGATCTAAGGTTGTTTTTTTGGAACTGTACATATTTTCATTGTTTTTCTTTGTTGAAAATCTTATTTTTATTGTACCAGGTGTACTTATTGAAAATGTTCAAATAAAAGTTTTGACTTTTATATAATATTTATAAGGTAATATATGTTTGCTTTTGTCAGTTGTATCTGGCCCTTGCCCCACCAAGTGATCTATTTCTAGATTATGGTGTTAGGTAATTTACATTTTACTTTGTTGAAAACCTTTTATTTTTTCATAAGGTCATTTGTAGTGGTTGAAATTTTGTTCAAATAAAAGTTTTAACTTTTCTGTAACATTTATAAGTTCATATCAATATGTAACTTGTTTCCTCTGTCTTCCTGTCCATCTGTCTTTCGTCATAGTCCGAAACTGCCGAGCAAAATTTGGAGCACTTCTGATTGATTCGTTTCAAACTTGGAGTGTTGGCAATGACCCGATGACAATGCAATCTGTCATCAAATTTTACTAAATAATTACCTATGTTGTAAGCCAATACGAACATTTCATGACAGCCAAAATAACTATGATGTCAGCCAGTATTTACCTGTGACATCAGCCAGTACTTACCTGTGATGTTAGCTAGTATTTATCTATGAAGTAGCCTAAGCCATTACTTACCTATAATGTGAGCCCCTACTTACCTGTGATTCACGTGCTATCTCAACCTCTGATAACATACAATGATGTCAGCCATTATTTATCTATCGATTGTTAGAAACTAGTAACTACATATACGCTCCGGTCTGTTTTCTTCATTTTTATTCTGTTTTCGGAATTTCTTTGACTGTTCTCTTTGTGAGTAACAGGCAGGTGAACCTAGATAATAATGATGTAACATTTAGGGGTAATTGGGGCGGGGTGGTCGGATAGTAGAGCACACGACAGCTTACCTGCAAGTCTCGAGCTCAAATCATCTGCTTGAGGTATTGGGACGTAATAGACTCCAGGCAGCTCTGAAGGATGCCTGAATCACGTTACGAAAAGTACAGGCAGGTGTGTACACAACTCCTTCATATGCCAAGAACACAGAAAAAGATTAACTGTATCTTTGATCTTTTGGCCGCATATGCCCGAACGTGTGAGTTTAAGAAAAAGAATTTTAAAATTAAAGAATTTAAAAATTACCATTTAAATATTTTTTTTAAAATATTTTTTGAAACATTTTTCTAATTTCGCGGTCTATGTGTAGTAGCACATACATACGTCTTCGGGGAAATAACTTTGGCACCATATAGTGTTCTACTCATTTGACTCTTTCTCGTATAAATAAAAGCAAAAAGTTAAAGAAATGAAGGCTAACGATAGTTGTCTTATTTACAGACGCGTAGCGAGGGGGGGGGGATATATGTCCCCGGGCGCCGACCTGGGGGGGGGGCGCCAAATTGAAAGTTTGAGGGGGGGGGGGGTGCAAATCGAAAGTTTTTCCTCGGGCGCCGGGAAGGGTCGCTACGCCTCTGCTTGTTTACACTTAAAAACATGTTTATTGTTAATACGATCATACAAGCAGTCACAGTAAGAGTATGGCATCAGGAGTGGAATCCTGTAATGTTTGGTCTTAGAAAGTTTAAAGAAAGGTATAAAGTAAACTGGGAATAATCGCAACTTTGAAGTAGTTGTAATAGATAAGATACACCGTGTTGCGTTGCTCCAAAGACATGATAAACTTGGCCACCTCCTCGCAAAATATTTTCACAGGATATGAAATCTTCAGAGATATATGGAGAACTTGATACGCACCTTTGTTGAAAATAATGTAAATTGTTTTAAATGTATTACCTAAATTTTATTTGACCAAGAAAAATAAAGGCTTATTCGAATGTAGAAACACAGTTTTACTTATACAACCGGAAAAGTGTTTATAGTTGTTTACACTATGGAAAAACTCAAAACTAATGGCGTCATCTTCCAATTTTAGAAAATAAAGAAATTAACTATTACGTTCAATTTTGATTTAGATCTAGATTCTATAAATCTACGTACCAAGAAGTACGCTATGAAATATATACAATTTTCTCGGTCAAACTAATACAAATTACTTTAAAAAGCAACATAATGGCCATTGAACAGCCGGATTTTTAACGGAATCATTTAAGTATCTTAATCAGTGTGTGGATTTAATTTGGCGTTCTGTTGACTAATAATGTATAGCCTTTAATTTGGTTTTAATTTTTCTAGTAGGTATTGGTAGCCTATGTTATTTTTAATGTGTCAGTTTTTTTTAGCTATTTAGTTATTTCTTTGCTTTGTCACTAACATTGTTTAATGTGTAGTAAGGCACATTGCGTTTTGACCAGAAACTATTTTATAAAATATTTTTCTCAAACATTTTAACATTAAAAATATATAGGCCTATGATTCACGTGTAACGGGTACCGACGGCTATTAAATTTGATATTTAGCTACATCACTTACTCAGTTACTGACGCAATAAACACGTTTGTTAAGTGATCCACTGAGACAAAATAACTTAACGGAAAATTCTCTTCTCTGCAGGGTTATTGGCAGCAGTGTTTGCTGTCAACAGTTGTCTCCGCTCTGCTGAGTTTAATAGTTTAAAATCATAATACATTTAATTTTTCTCTAACTATTGTTTTACTTTTGGCCGTTTGCCTCAACATATCAAATTATTAAGTTGCAATTCAAAATAAGATCTTTAAAAAAATATGATTTATGAATTCAAATTCCTACACTTATCTTTCATTTTTATTTAAAAATTAACTTTTAAATAAGTCGTTGCGCTGTTATTTCATAAATTAACAACAGACACTTGAGAGTATGTCGGAGGGATTCTATGTGTGCTTTGTATCTCATGTTTCCATGTCTATGTTTCAGTATCAAAGTGTTTGATTGTAAGTGTGTAGATGAATCTATGTGTATCTGGTCTGTGTGTGGCTCGATTGTCAGGTATGTATGTGTGTCGGTGACTGTATGTGAGTGTGATCTTTTTGTCAGTGTGTGATGTGTGAGATAAAAACAGAACAGAACCAAATGGATCCAAAACTGAACCAATTTAACGCCCATCTCTTTGTTTCATGTTACTTTGTTTTTATTGTAAAAAAGGTTTATTATGTAATTTTAAATAATGAAAACCTGTTTTTATTTTTCGTAGTCCTAAGCTTTTAGGCCAAACACTATCGTCTCTACCCCCCCCCCCCCCCGTTCTGATTGTATGCTAATGTACTAGTAATATAAAATATAGACATGAAAATCCGTGAAATGTATTGAATCCATGCAATATGCAGGGACGGATTAAGCTTGAGAGAGGCCCCGGGCTAAAAATGTTGGGGACCCCCATTTGTTCATATATATATATATATATATATATATATATATATATATATATATATATATATATATATATATATATATATATATATATATATGGGGAGGTACAAATAGAAATGACATTATTTACAATAAAGAAAATAAATACTTAAAACTGGAAAATGAAAAGAGCACTTAACAGGAATATACTCAAACTGTTTAGCAATGTTCAAAGTTCAAATAAACACTAGGGCCCTATATTATTATAAAAACACACAGACTAGGCCTAAGCAAAACAAAAACACAAGTCTTTCTAACTGTTTAAAAGTTGCATTTTACAATATTAATTCTAGAATGTACGATATTGAATGTCAGTGAATAAACATTTTAAAGTGTAGAATTTAAAAAGAAACACTTGGTTTTTAGTATATATCAAAACAATCCTAATTAAACAAACGAAAATTTAATAGGCATACATTTTAAAGGGAAACTACTCTAAATAATATTTTCTTTAACAAGCCCTGTACTGTATATTATTAATTAGTATTAGATCTAGTTGATCAAGATTCTAGATCTATATTCTAGATCTAACTAAAGTATAACAGATAGATCGATATATTTTTATATTTTTAAAATAATTTTGTAACAATACAAATTAGTTTTAGAGCTAGACTATAATATAGAGATCTATATATATAATATATATAGACTAGACTATAGACTATAGGCCTAGATCTAGGGGGGATTCTAGGCCTATTAGCCCCATAGGACGCCATCGTGACGCCATATTAAATATTAGGACATAGGTTACTATCAGAATTATCATTAGAATTTTTAGAACACCTGCAGTGACTTTAAATTAAACGATTTTACTAAAGAAAAAAAAAAAAATTTATTTGTTCCTATTTTTACTGCATTTAGAATCTAAAATCTAAAGCTTATTACTATTATAAATATTTTAAATTTGAATTTTTTTTAGAGGCCTAATCACTTATCTTTTAAGTTTTAATCATTATGACATACACAACTGCTAATAAAATAATAAATACCCCTTATGCCCTTAGTAGGGCCTACTAATTTATGTAGCCAATATAATGTAGATACCCTTATAAGTAATTTTATAATATTAGGCCTTTGTGATGAACTAACTTTTTTTTAGATCACTTCTTCAAACCACCTTAGTCTAATCGTAGTTTAATTCCAGGGAGACACAGATTTTAGTTTCATTAATGTTTTAAAACTACATTAATTTACAGTTAATTTGATGCTAATTTTAATCATCAGAATTAATTTACAACCTAGAAAATTATCTTTGAAAATTTTAATTACTATTAAATGTAAATGATGCTATGACTGACATGGTGTGTTCATTTTTAAGGAGTGTTAGATGCGATAGTTTGTTCTGCACAAGTGTGTCTTTTGTGTTAGAGTTCTTCCCATTGAAATATACAGCAGACTTAGTCTTGTCTGTTGCCTTGATCAAGGCCAAGGTATTATTTTTGGTTAATTTTTCTATTAATGAAAATTATTAATTTATTATGGCAGGGCATTTAATTTCCTGTCATCAAACAAAGTAAATAATAATAAATTGTTTTTATGCAACAAGACATTATTTCTTACAATATCTTCCTCTACCAAGGCAACAGCTTAAAGAAAGTAGGACAAGCAACAGCTAGAATCTATATACTCTATACTCTATAGCTTTATAGGCAATTCATTAAAACATTAAGCATTTCAACAAAAAAAATTGTGTTCACCCTCCCAAACATAATAAATCATTATAATTTAGTTTACTTTGTAATCTTAAGTGTTTTTTTTTATTTTTAGCTTAGTCATTAATTTACCAGTTTAAAATGTATCCAGAATGGAAGTGGAAGCTGATTATAAAACTTTGCTGAGCTCATTAGATCTCTAAAACTAATCATTTTTATTGTTAAATAGGATAAATAGTTTATAGATCTATCTATTATAAATCAGATTTCATATTTGTATGCTTACTTTAATGCTAAAATAGAAAAAAAAATACTAGCCTTTAATCTTTCAATTAATATTTTTTTAACAATTTTAAGAATTTAGAAATCAAAACAAATTTCTTTCTTAACAAAAACAAAACTAGGAGTGTTGCACAGACTTTTTGAAATTAAATTTATCCTTTTAAATGACTTTTGCAAAATTTTTATTCACACACATCTACTAAAATAAAAAATAATATTCTTTACTAAAGTCTAGATCTATATTATAATGTAGACAGCCAGATAAGTAATGTTTTTACATTGTGAGAAGATATTTGTTTTTAGCTCTCTGCATCAAAGTGCTCTTAGCCTCATCACATCTTAAAACCTCCCTTAGTCTCAACATACTATAATACTTGTACTCTCCTTAGCCTCATCACATCTTAAAACCTTCCTTAGTCTCAACATACCATAATACTTGCACTCTCCTTAGCCTTATCACATCTTAAAACCTTCCTTAGTCTCAACATACTATAATACTTGTACTCTCCTTAGCCTCATCACATCTTAAAACCTTCCTTAGTCTCAACATACCATAATACTTGTACTCTCCTTAGCCTCATCACATCTTAAAACCTTCCTTAGTCTCAACATACCATAATACTTGCACTCTCCTTAGCCTTATCACATCTTAAAACCTTCCTTAGTCTCAACATACTATAATACTTGTACTCTCCTTAGCCTCATCACATCTTAAAACCTTCCTTAGTCTCAACATACCATAGTACTTGTACTCTCCTTAGCCTCATCACATCTTAAAACCTTCCTTAGTCTAATCATACCATAATACTTGTACTCTCCTTAGCCTCATCACATCTTAAAACCTTCCTTAGTCTCAACATACCATAATACTTGTACTCTCCTTAGCCTTATCACATCTTAATGCCCTACTAGCTCAAGAAGTCAATCACAAAAATTTTACTGAACACAGTAACATTGGATGATTGAGTGTATTAGTCAATTTCTGTTACAATTAACAAAAATTCTTTAAAAATGCAGTATACCGGCCTCATTTCAGATTCTTATATTTCTTTTAAAAATGCATTAGTGTATGGCCTCAGTTTCTTTACTTAATTACTTAGTTTATGGTTTCAATTATAAATATATTTTATTTTTATAAAAAAGTTTGGCTTGTAGTCATAATTGTTTTTATTTTTTATTTTTTTTTTTAGCTTTAGTCATCAATTTACCAGATAAAAATTATACAGAATGGATGAGGAAGCTGATTTTAAAACATTGCCGAGCCAATTCGAGTTCCTACAGGAATGCAATGAAGAAAAAGTGTGCGAATTATCTCCTAACATTACTTTAGCTGACATTAAGCCTGATGTAGTAACATCTAAAATAACTTTAGAAGAAGTAAAACCAGATGTATCAATTTTATTATCCGCTTTTAATGACATTAAATCAGATGTATCTCCAGCTTTAGAAAATATGAAAGTAGATGTATCAACATCATTTACAACTGATAACATTGAATTGAATTTAGGAACATCGTGTATAGCTTTAGAGGACTTAAAACCAGATCTATCAACTTCTTTTTCGACTACTGATAATACGAAATTAAATGTTTCTCCGTCATTTTCAACATTTGACAACATGAAAGTAGATAAATCAACATTGTTTTCAAACTTTGAAGAAGGAAAGCCAATTTCATCATTCAAGAGTGAAAACCAAAATAGTTTTGATGAACAAATACAACCTCTACCACATTTAACTACTTGTGAAGAAAAAATCCCATGTATTGAATCAGATATTTGGACTGAATTAAAAGAACTTAAGATTTTGCTCACCCATTCAAATAATATTTTATCTTCAAATGTTCCCCTAATTCATAAGGGAACGGAAACCAATCAGTGTAGTGAATGTAAAAAATTTGCCTGCATGGACCACATCGTGTCAAATTTGGAAAAAACTGAGAACTCAGAGGAAGAGGCTGTACGTTCAGAAAGCTGTAACCATGTTAAAGAGCATATAAAAAAAAATACAGGTGAGAAACAACATAAGCCTGTTTCTTTACTGCAAAACACAATTCATCAAAAAGATATGCAACACAAATTTGACTCAAGTCGTGAAAAGATTCCTAAGAAAGTTGTCTCGTCAAAGCATAACAAAGCTCAGTTTGTTAATAAGCTGCATCAGTGTGACATTTGTCACAGAAATTTTTCTTGTAAAGCTTTTTTATCCACACATAAAAGAAATATTCATTCTGAACATAAAAAGTTTATTAACCAAGCTAATATAGAGCTGCATAAACAAATTCATTCTGGCCAAAAACAACATGAATGTGACATTTGTCTTAAAAAGTTTTCTCTTATAGATAACTTATTATCACATGAAAAAACCCATTCTGTAGATAAACAATATGAATGTGACATTTGTCACAAAAAGATGGCACGCAAGTCTAATTTAGTCATACATAAAAGAATTCATTCTGGTCATAAACCTTATGAATGTGTTATTTGTCATAAAAAGTATGCTCAGAAAAGTGCTTTAGTATCACATGAAAATGTTCATTTTGGAGATAAATTGTATGAATGTGACATTTGTCACAACAAGTTTTATAACAAGTCAAACTTAACCGCACATAAAAAAATTCATTCTGTCCGTAAATCTTATGAATGTGACATTTGTAACAAAAAGTTTCTTTACAAGTCAAGTTTAGTCAAACATAAAATAATTCATTCTGGCCAAAAACAATGTGAATTTGAATGTGACATTTGTCACAAAAAGTTATCACGCAAGTCTAATTTAGTCGTACATAAAAGAATTCATTCTGGTCATGAACATTTTGAATGTGACATTTGTCACAAAAAGTTTCTCCACCAGTCTAGTTTAACCAAACATAAAAAAATTCATTCTGGAGATAAATTTTATGAATGTGACATTTGTCACAAAAAGATGGCATACAAGTCTAGTTTAGCTAGACATAAAAAAATACATTCTGGTTAAAAAGCACATGAATGTGACATTTGTCATAGAAACTATTCTCAGAAAACTTCTTTAGTATCACATGAAAAAATTCATTTGGCAGATAAACCTTTAGAATGTGACATTTGTCACAAAAAGTTTCTTTAGAAGTATAGTTTAGCCATACATAAAAAAATCATTCTGGCTAAAAAGCATTTGAATATGAATTAGACATTTGTCACAAAAAGACAGCATACAAGAATTAATTTTTGCGAAAAACCATATAAATGAAGCATTTCTCACAAAAAGTTTTCTCAGAAAGTTTGTTATAACACGTAAAAACCACTTGAATGTGACATTTGCCATTGAAATTTTGCCCAGATAATGAATCTTTTTTCATTAATTAGTTAACAAACCTTGTCCTTTTATTGTTTAGCATTTATGATATTGTACATTATTAGATTCCATTAAATTCTATAATAGGGTATCTTGTTGTTAGAAGATGCAATGGATTGTGCATAAAGGGAGGTTTCATTAGATGTAGGTGGCATGGGGTGGTGTGGGGGTCAAGCACATGTTCACTGGGCAGTTACCATTTTTATGAAAAATTAATTCTAATAGCCTAATGTCCTGATCATGTACTTTTGTACCAAAACAAAGAACACAATGTGTAATTTTTTAAAAATCAGTATTGCGATATTGTATTAAATTACATTGTGTTGCATTAAGTTTTACATATTTTGTGTGTGATTTTTATGTGTAGTGTTTTTTGTTGAGTTTTGTTATATTGTATTTGTTGTTTCTACAGAGTTATAACTTAAATATTTGGACCTTATGGTGGGGTTTAACAAGGCAGCATCAGTAGATGGGGCATGAAAGAGATGAATATACTATGTGTAGAACCATCTTCTGGGATAGTATACATTATGTTTATCTAAAAACCACAATAGTATATTTTATATTCTAAACTATTTTATCTAAATGAATACACAGATATAGTGGCTCTTATGTTTAGAGGTCATGACCCACCTATATCATTGTAATAAAGTTAGTCTAAAGACAGCTTTCTTGTAATTACATTACTTCAAAACATATTTCACCACAGTTTATTTATCTTGCAATATAGACATAAATTCTTATATTTCTATATCAGTAGCAACGCCTGCTTCCATTCCCTTTTCTTTTTATCTTAAAATTAAAAGCCTACAAAACCTAATGATTGAGAGAATGTATTTTAAACTGTTTTATCTGAATATTGCCCAGTATATTGGCTAGTTATAGTAGTAAGCAAAGTTTAAGATGGGATTTGTTACAGATAACATGAAATAGAGAAAGAGAATCAAAGCATGGGACCAGTTAAAAAAAATTTAAAATCAAATTAAATAGAATAATTTTGGTGTGTTTATTTTTATATTTATATATTGGCTGGGATTTTTTGGGCCTTTTAAAAAACATTGATTCTTACTCTAAATTTGCTTAAATATTGATTTGGTATTTTATATTTCAATCATGTAAGTTGCATTGAAATTTTTTTTGGATCCAGTAGTGGATCTAAAACAGAAAATTCAACATTAGTGATCTAAGGTTGTTTTTGGAACTGTACACATTTTCATTGTTTTTCTTTGTTGAAAATCTTATTTTTATTGTACCAGGTGTACTTACTGAAAATGTTCAAATAAAAGTTTAGACTTTTATATAACATTCATAAGGTAATATGTTTTTTTTTGGTCGGTTGTATCTGACCCTTGCCCCACCAAGTGATCTATTTCTAGATTATTGTGTTGGGAAATTTACATATTATGGTTGTTTCACTTTGTTGAAAACCTTTTATTTTTTCATAAGGCCATTTGTAGTAGTTGAAATTTTGTTCAAATAAAAGTTTTTACTTTTCTGTAACATTTATAAGTTCATATCAATATGTAACTTGTTTCCTCTGTCTTCCTGTCCGTCTGTCTTTCGTCCGAAACTGCCGAGCAAAATTTCGAACACTTCAGATTGATTTGTTTCAAACATTGGAGTGTTGGCCATGACTCGATGACAATGCAATCTGTCATCAAATTTTACTAAATAATTACCTATGTTGTAAGCCAATACGAACCTGTCATGACAGCCAAAATAACTATGATGTCAGCCAGTATTTTCCTGTGACATCAGCCAGTACTTACCTGTGTTGTTAGCTAGTATTTATCTATGAAGAATCCTAGGCCAATACTGACATGTTATTTCAGTTAGTATTTACCTATGATGTAGCCTAAGCCATTACTTACCTGTAATGTGAGCCCCTACTTACCTGTGATTCACGTGCTATCTCAACCTCTGATAACATACAATGATGTCAGCCATTATTTATCTATCGAGTGTTAGAAGCTAGTAACTACATATACGCTCCGGTCTGTTTTCTTCATTTTTATTCTGTTTTCGGAATTTCTTTGACTGTTCTCTTTGTGAGTAACAGGCAGGTGAACCTAGATAATAATTATGTAACATTCAGGGGTAATTGGGGCGGGGTGGTCGGACAGCAGAGCACACGACAGCTTACCTGCAAGTCTCGAGCTCAAATCATCTGCTCGAGGTATTGGGCCGTATTAGACTCCAGGCAGCTCTGAAGGATACCTGAATCACGTTACGGAAAGTACAGGCAGGTGTGTACACAACTCCTTCATATGCCAAGAACACAGAAAAAGATTACCTGCATCTTTGATCTTTTGGCCGCATATACCCGAACGTGTGAGTTTAAGAAAAAGAATTTTAAAAATAAAGAATTAAAAATTACCATTTAAATATTTTTTTTTAAATATTTTTTGAAACATTTTTCTAATTTCGCGGTCTATGTGTAGTAGCACATACATTATAATACATACGTCTTCGGGGAAATAACTTTGGCATCATATAGTGTTCTACTCATTTGACTCTTTCTCGTATAAATAAAAGCAAAAAGTTAAAGAAATGAAGGCTAACGATAGTTGTCTTGTTTACATAGGCGTAGCGAGGGGGGGGGGCGGGCGCCGACCTGAGGGGGGGGGCGCCAAATTGAAAGTTTGAAGGGGGTGCAAATAAAAAGTTCGAGGGGGGGGGAGGGTGCAAATCAAAAGTTTGTCCCCGGGCGCCGGGAAGGGTCGCTACGCCTCTGCTTGATTACACTTAAAAACATGTTTATTGTTAATACGATCATACAAGCAGTCACAGTAAGAGTATGGCATCAGGAGTGGAATCCTGCAATGTTTGGTCTTAGAAAGTTTAAAGAAAGGTATAAAGTAAACTGGGAATAATCGCAACTTTGAAGTAGTTGTAATAGATAAGATACACCGTGTTGCGTTGCTCCAAAAACATGATAAACTTGGCCACCTCCTCGCAAAATATTTTCACAGGATATGAAATCTTCAGAGATAGGCCTGTAACGGGCACCAATCTATCAGCCAGATAGTTGGCGAACGCTCCCGGATTCGTTTAACTGATTATACACAGATGGCGACAAGCCTAAATAAAAGAAAGTTAACACACTAGTTCGCTAGGACTCGTAATTGATGTCTAGGGGAAACACTAGAGAAACTACTGATGCCAACAATACATTTAATCTGCATATAACTTGTAATGAGTGTACAAAGTCGTGGCAGAACACTAGATTTATACAGGAATAAAATATATTTACAGAATGAACAAAACCCAACTAACAATTCGTGGGAAAAAATAATATGATACACTATCACAGCTTTTAACACTTCAGATAAATCACCACAGTATACACATCACTGCTATAAGCATAAAGAATTACTTAACCACAAGTAATATAAGAATATGCTACTTAAACAACTTAGTACTACACGGCAACACACAGGGCTTATGTCTCTCAACGACGTCTGATCAATGAACTGCCTCGAGACGCCTGTGCGCAGTCTATTTATAGACTTAGGCAACATGGAAGGTCACCTTCAAATCATAAGGCCATTGGTTGGGGTGGTCATCTGGTCTGAATCAATCAATCATCTTTTGATGGAAAATTTCTGAGTCTAAGACTCTCTTAGTAAGACAGCGGAAAAAACCGGTCATTGCACCACAGACCATATATGGTATTATAACAAATGTAAAAATAAACATTACCAGACCTAAGTAGGTCACAGGCCTATATGGAGAACTTGATACGGACCTTTGTTGAAAATGTGTCAGTTTTTTTAGCTATTTAGTTATTTCTTTGCTTTGTCACTAACATTGTTTAATGTGTAGTAAGGCACATTGCGTTTTGACCAGAAACTATTTTATAAAATATTTTTCTCAAACATTTTAACATTAAAAATATATAGGCCTATAATTCACGTGTAACGGGTACCGACGGCTATTAAATTTGATATTTAGCTACATCACTTACTCATTTACTGACGCAAGAAACACGCTTGTTAAGTGATCCACTGAGACAAATTAACTTAAACGGAAAATCCTCTTCTCTGCGGGGATATTGGCAGCAGTGTTCGCTGTCAACAGTTGTCTCCGCTCTGGTGAGTTTAATAGTTTAAAATCATAATACATTTAATTTTTCTCTAACTATTGTTTTACTTTTGGCCGTTTGCCTCAACATATCAAATTATTAAGTTGCAATTCAAAATAAGATCTTTAAAAAAATATGATTTATGAATTCAAATTCCTACACTTATCTTTCATTTTTATTTAAAAATTACCTTTTAAATAAGTCGTTGCGCTGTTATTTCATAAATTAACAACAGACACTTGAGAGTATGTCGGAGGGATTCTATGTCTGCTTTGTATCTCATGTTTCCATGTCTATGTTTCAGTATCAAAGTGTTTGATTGTAAGTGTGTAGATGAATCTATGTGTATCTGGTCTGTGTGTGGCTCGATTGTCAGGTATGTATGTGTGTCGGTGACTGTATGTGAGTGTGATCTTTTTGTCAGTGTGTGATGTGTGAGATAAAAACAGAACAGAACCAAATGGATCCAAAACTGAACCAATTTAACGCCCATCTCTTTGTTTCATGTTACTTTGTTTTTATTGTAAAAAAGGTTTATTAGGTAATTTTAAATAATGAAAACCTGTTTTTATTTTTCGTAGTCCTAAGCTTTTAGGCCAAACACTATCGTCTCTACCCCTCCCCCCCCCGTTCTGATTGTATGCTAATTTACTAGTAATATAAAATATAGACATGAAAATCCGTGAAATGTATTGAATCCATGCAATATGCAGGGACGGATTAAGCTTGAGAGAGGCCCCGGGCTAAAAATGTTGGGGACCCCCATTTGTTCATATATATATATATATATATATATATATATATATATATATATATATATATATATATATATACAGAGCCGGCGTTAGGAATACGCGGGGCCTAGGGCCAACCATCCGCGCGGGGGGGGGGGGGGGACGGGGGACAAGGCCCCCCCCCTCGAAAACGAAATGAAATTTATATAGAAAATATATACTTTTAACAGTGTCCGCCCCCCCCCCCTCTCGAAGAAAATCTTCCGTCCCCCGTCCCCCCCCCCCCCGAAAATTTCAAGTGCCCCTCCCCCCCCCCCCCCCGGAGAAAAAAGTCTGGAAGAAACACTGTACATATACGACATTATACGACATCTACAACAAGAAAGTCAGGACTAGAGTTCATCAGGTCACTAACTGTCTACTACAGACATCCCGTCTGCTCACTAAAAGGACGTCTTAATGGGTCCGCATACAATAGGGTATCTCTTTACGTCGTGGGCTAATTCTCGACCGCCATCTCCAGTCAGCTCAGGTCAAATGCCAGGCGACCGTACCCTACACAAAGGGAAGGCGTGACACTATTTTTGTATCGAATTACGGCCTGTCCCAGTTCAGGTGGGACTCACCAACATCAACCGTGGCCTCAGTTATAACAATAAACAACGTCGGCATTCGACCATTTAGTTTTTCCCAATTGAATTTAGCAACAATTTTTTTAAGTTTACGAACTAATTCAGATAACAATGACATTGCTAAAGCGCGGGGCCCCTTCAAGCGAGGGGCCTATGGCGACCGCCCCGTTCGCCACCCCCTAACGCCGGCTCTGTATATATATATATATATATATATATATATATATATATATATATATATATATATATATATATATATATATATGGGGAGGCACAAATAGAAATGACATTATTTACAATAAAGAAAATAAATACTTAAAACTGGAAAATGAAAAGAGCACTTAACAGGAATATACTCAAACTGTTTAGCAATGTTCAAAGTTCAAATAAACACTAGGGCCCTATATTATTATAAAAACACATAGACTAGGCCTAAACAAAACAAAAACACAAGTCTTTCTAACTGTTTAAAAGTTGCATTTTACAATATTAATTCTAGAATGTACGATATTGAATGTCAGTGAATAAACATTTTAAAGTGTAGAATTTAAAAAGAAACACTTGGTTTTTAGTATATATCAAAACAATCCTAATTAAACAAACGAAAATTTAATAGGCATACATTTTAAAGGGAAACTACTCTAAATAATATTTTCTTTAACAAGCCCTGTACTGTATATTATTAATTAGTATTAGATCTAGTTGATCAAGATTCTAGATCTATATTCTAGATCTAACTAAAGTATAACAGATAGATCGATATATTTTTATATTTTTAAAATAATTTTGTAACAATACAAATTAGTTTTAGAGCTAGATCTAGACTATAATATAGAGATCTATATATTATATTAATTATTATATATAGACTAGACTATAGTATAGGCCTAGATCTAGGGGGGATTCTAGGCCTATTAGCCCCATAGGACGCCATCGTGACGCCATATTAAATATTAGGACATAGGTTACTATCAGAATTATCATTAGAATTTTTAGAACACCTGCAGTGACTTTAAATTAAACGATTTTACTAAAGAAAAAAAATAAATTTTATTTGTTCCTATTTTTACTGCATTTAGAATCTAAAATCTAAAGCTTATTACTATTATAAATATTTTAAATTTGAATTTTTTTTAGGGGCCTAATCACTTATCTTTTAAGTTTTAATCATTATCACATACACAACTGCTAATAAAATAATAAATACCCCTTATGCCCTTAGTAGGTCCTACTAATTTATGTAGCCAATATAATGTAGATACCCTTATAAGTAATTTTATAATATTAGGCCTTTGTGATGAACTAACTTTTTTTTAGATCACTTCTTCAAACCACCTTAGCCTTAGTCTAATCGTAGTTTAATTCCAGGGAGACGCAGATTTTAGTTTCATTAATGTTTTAAAACTACATTAATTTACAGTTAATTTGATGCTAATTTTAATCATCAGAATTAATTTACAACTTAGAAAATTATCTTTGAAAATTTTTTTTACTATTAAATGTAGATCTAAATGATGCTATGACTGACATGGTGTGTTCATTTTTAAGGAGTGTTAGATGCGATAGTTTGTTCTGCACAAGTGTGTCTTTTGTGTTAGAGTTCTTCCCCACTGAAATATACAGCAGACTTAGTCTTGTCTGTTGCCTTAATCAAGGCCAAGGTATTATTTTTGGTTAATTTTTCTATTAATGAAAATTATTAATTTATTATGGCAGGGCATTTAATTTCCTGTCATCAAACAAAGTAAATAATAATAAATTGTTTTTATGCAACAAGACATTATTTCTTACAATATCTTCCTCTACCAAGGCAACAGCTTAAAGAAAGTAGGACAAGCAACAGCTAGAATCTATATACTCTATACTCTATAGCTTTATAGGCAATTCATTAAAACATTAAGCATTTAAAACAAAAAAAATTGTGTTCACCCTCCCAAACATAATAAATCATTATAATTTAGTTTACTTTGTAATCTTAAGTGTTTTTTTTTTATTTTTAGCTTAGCCATTAATTTACCAGTTTAAAATGTATCCAGAATGGAAGTGGAAGCTGATTATAAAACTTTGTTTAGCTCATTAGATATCTAAAACTAATAATTTTTATTGTTAAATAGGATAAATAGTTTATAGATCTATCTATTATAAATCAGATTTCATATTTGTATGCTTACTTTATTGCTAAAATAGAAAAAAAAATAATACTAGCCTTTAATCTTTCAATTAAATTTTTTTTAACAATTTTAAGAATTTAGAAATCAAAACAAATTTCTTTCTTAACAAAAACAAAACTAGGAGTGTTATACAGACTTTTTGAAATTAAATTTATCCTTTTAAATGACATTTGCAAAATTTTTATTCACACACATCTACTAAAATAAAAAATAATATCCTTTACTAAAGTCTATATTATAATGTAGACAGCCAGATAAGTAATGTTTTTACATTGTGAGAAGATATTTGTTTTTAGCTCTCTGCATCAAAGTGCTCTTAGCCTCATCACATCTTAAACCTTCCTTAGTCTCAACATACTATAATACTTGTACTCTCCTTAGCCTCATCACATCTTAAAACCTTCCTTAGTCTCAACATACCATAGTACTTGTACTCTCCTTAGCCTTATCACATCTTAATGCTCTACTAGCTCAAGAAGTCAATCACAAAAATCTTACTAAGCACAGTAACATTGAGTGTATTAGTCAATTTCTGTTACAATTAACAAAAAGTCTTTAAAATTGCAGTATACCGGCCTCAATTCAGATTCTTTTATTACTTTTAAAAATGCATTAGTGTATGGCCTCAGTTTCTTTACTTAATTACTTAGTTTATGGTATCAATTATAAATATTTTTTATTTTTACAATTTAGTTTGGCTTTTGATCATAATTTTTATTTTTTTTATTTTTAGCTTTAGTCCACAATTTATCAGATAAAAATTTATCCAGAATGGATGAGGAAGCTGATTTTAAAACATTGCCGAGCCTATTCGAGTTCCTACAGGAATGCAATAAAGAAATAAAATCAGAATTTTCACCTAACATTACTTTAGCTGACATAAAGCCTGATGTAAAAACATCTTTAATAACTTTAGAGGAAGTAAAACCAGATGTATCAATTTCATTATCCGCTTTTAATGACATTAAATCAGATGTATCTCCAGCTTTAGAAAAAATGAAAGTAGGTGCATCAACATCATTTACAACAGATAACATTGAACTGGATTTAGGAACATCACGTATAGCTTTAGAGGACTTAAAACCAGATGTATCAACTTCTTTTTCGACTACTGATTATACGAAATTAGATGTTTCTCCATCATTTTCAACATTTGACAACATGAAAGAAGAAAAATCAACATTGTTTTCAAACTTTGAAGAAGGAAAGCCAATTTCATCATTCAAGAGTGAAAACCAAAATAGTTTTGATGAACAAATACAACCTCTACCACATTTAACTACTTGTGAAGAATATATCCCACGTATTGAATCAGATATTTGGACTCATTCTGTAGATAAACAATATGAATGTGATATTTGTCACAAAAAGGTAGCACGCAAGTCTAGTTTAGTCAAACATAAAAAAATTCATTCTGGAGATAAACCATATGAATGTGACATTTGCCACAAAAAGATAGCATGCAAGTTTAGTTTAGTCATACATAAAAGAATTCATTCTAGTCATAAGCCTTATGAATGTGACATTTGTCATAAAACATTTTCTCAGAAAGCTCATTTATTATCACATGAAAACACTCATTCTGTAAATAAACCATATGAATGTGACATTTGTCTTAAAAAGTTTTCACACCGATCTAGTTTAGTCAGACATAAGAAACTACATTCTGGACTTAAACTATATGAATGTGACATTTGTCATAAAACATTTTCTCTTAATGCTAATTTATTATCACATAAAAAAACTCATTCTGTAGATAAACAATATGAATGTGACATTTGTCACAAAAAGATTACTCGCAAGACTAATTTAGTCATACATAAAAGAATTCATTCTGGTCATAAACCTTATGAATGTGACATTTGTCATAGAAAGTATACTCAGAAAAGTGCTTTAGTATCACATGAAAATGTTCATTTTGGAGATAAATTGTATGAATGTGACATTTGTCACAAAAAGTTTCTCCGCCAGTCGAATTTAGCCTCACATAAAAAAATTCATTCTGGAGATAAACCATATGAATGTGACATTTGTCACAAAAAGTTTCTTTACAAGTCACAGTTAGCCGAACATAAAAAAATTAATTGTGGCCAAAAACCTTATGAATGTGACATTTGTCACAAAAAGTTTCTCCACCAGTCTAGTTTAGCCGAACATAAAAAAATTAATTGTGGCCAAAAACCTTATGAATGTGACATTTGTCACAAAAAGTTTCTCTACCAGTCTAATTTAGCCAAACATAAAAAAATTCATTCTGGAGATAAACCATATGAATGTGACATTTGTCACAAAAAGTTTCTTTACAAGTCGCAGTTAGCCACACATAAAAAAATTCATTCTGGAGATAAACCATATAAATGTCACATTTGTCACAAAAAGATGGCATACAAGTCTAGTTTAGCTAAACATAAAAAAATACATTCTGGTTAAAAAGCACATAAATGTGACCTATGTCCTAGAAAATATTCTCAGAAAACTTTTTTAGTATCACATAAAAATTCATTCGGCAGATAAACCTTAAGAATGTGACATTTGTCACAAAAAGTTTCTTTACAAGTATAGTTTAGCCATGCATAAAAAAATCATTCTGGCTTAAAACCATATGAATATGAATGAGACATTTGTCACAAAAAGACAGTCTGGTTTAGCAATACGTACAAGAATTAATTTTTGCTAAATCAACTTCTTTTTTGACTACTGATTATACGAAATTAGATGTTTCTCCATCATTTTCAACATTTGACAACATAAAAGTAGATAAATCAACCTTTTTTTTCAAACTTTGAAGAAGGAAAGCCAATTTCATCATTCAAGATTGAAAACAAATATAGTTTTGATAAACAAATACAACCTCTACCACATTTAACTACTTCTGGAGAAAATATCCCATGTATTGAATCAGGTATTTGGACTCATTCTGTAGATAAATAATATGAATGTGACATTTGTCACAAAAAGGTAGCACGCAAGTCTAGTTTAGTCATACATAAAAGAATTCATTCTGGTCAAAAACCTTATCAATGTGACATTTGTCATAAAATGTTTACTCATAAAACATAATTAATATCACATCAAAAAATTCATTCTGGAGATCAACCATATGAATGTGACATTTGTCACAAAAAGTTTCTCCTCCAGTCTAGTTTAGCCACACATAAAAAAATTCATTCTGGAGATATACCATATGAATGTGACATTTGTCATAAAATGTTTTCTCAGAAAGCTCACTTATTATCACATGAAAACACTCATTCTGTTGATAAACAATATGAATGTGCCATTTGCCACAAAAAGATAGCATACAAGTCTAGTTTAGTCATACATAAAAAAATTCATTCTGTCCGTAAATTGGAAATCTTATGAATGTGACATTTGTCATAAATTGTTTACTCAGAAAACATATATAGTATTACATCAGAAAATTCTTTCTGGAGATCAACCCTATGAATGTGACATTTGTCACAAAAAGTTTCTTCACCATAATAGATTAGCTAAACATAAAAAAAATTCATTCTGATGAAAAACCATATGAAAGTGACATTTGTCATAGAAAGTACTCTCAGAAAACTTCTCTAGTATCACATAAAAAAATTCATTCTGCAGATAAGCCCTATGAATGTGACATTTGCCATAAAACGTTTCTTTACCAATATAGTTTAGCCATACATAAAAAAATCATTCTGGCAAAAAACCATATGAACTTGAATGAGACATTTGTCACAAAAAGTTTCTTTACAAGTACAGTGTAGCGATACATTAAAAAAATCATATGAACATGAATGTGACATTTGTCACCAAAAGTTTATTTATCAGTATAGTTAAGTAATACATAAAAAAATCACATGAATATGAATGAGACATTTGTCTCAAAAAACAGCATACAAGTCTTGTTTAGAAATACATACAAGAATGTATTCTGGCGAAAAAAATATGAATGTACATATGTCATAAAAATTTTTGCAGAAAAATAATTTAGTAGCACACGAAAAAACTCATTATTGAGATAAACCATATGTATGGGACATTTGTCACAGAAAGTTTTAGCAGAAAGTTTATTTATTATCACATGTAAAAACCACTTGAATGCAACATTTGTCATTGGAATTTTGCCCAGATAATGAATCTTTTTTCATTAATTAGTTAACAAACCTTGTCCTTTTATTGTTTAGGATTTATGGTATTGTACATTATTAGATTCCATTAAATCCTATAATAGGGTATCTTGTTGTTAGAAGATACAATGGATTGTGCATAAAGGGAGCCTAACATCGTGCTCATGTACTTTAATGCCAAAACAAAGAACGCAATGTATATTTTTTAAAATCAGTATTGTGATATTGAATTGCATTGTGTTGCATTAAGTTTTTCATATTTTGTAGTATAGACATAAATTATTATATTTCTATGTCAGTATATATATATGCTTCCAACCCCTTATCTTTTTATCTTAAAAGCCTACAAAACCTATTGATAGAAAGAGTGTATTTTAAACTGTTTTATCTGAATATTGCACAGTATACTGGCTAGTTATAGTAGAAAGCTAAGTTTAAGATGGAATTTGTTATAACCAACATAAAAAATAGAATAGAAACATGGGACCAGCTAAATTTTAAAAAAATCAAATTAAATAGAATTATTTGGTGTGTTTAGTTTTATGTTTATATATTGGCTGGGATTTTTTGGGCCTTTTTAAAAAACGTGGATACTGACTCTAAATGTGCTTCTTAAATATTAAAGCTGGTATTTTATATTTCAGTCAGATAAGTTGCGTTAATATTTTTTTTATCTAGTAGTGGATCTTAAACAGAAAATTCAACATTACTAATCTCATATTTTTTTTGGAATTGTACACATTTGCTTTGTTTCTCTTTATTGAAAATCTTAGTTTTATTGTACCATGTGTACTTATTGAAAATGTTCAAATAAAAGTTTTGACTTTTATATAACATTTATAAGTTAATATGTTTCTTTTTGTCAGTTGTATCTGACCCTTGGCCCGCCAGGTGATCTATTTCTAGATTATTGTGTTGGGAAATTTACATATTATGGTTGTTTCACTTTGTTGAAAACCTTTTATTTTTTCATAAGGCCATTTGTAGTAGTTGAAATTTTGTTCAAATAAAAGGTTTCACTTTTCTGTAACATTTATAAGTTCATCTATCTATCTACTACTAAAACTCAGTCATGTAGTTACATGATTGAATATTTATTTGTTTGTTTGTTTGTCCGTTTGGTTACAGGAGAGAATCTGCACTATGTGTAGAGCTGTAAAATAGTATGTAGGTAGAGAACAATTTTCTTTTTCAGACAGACTGTTCATCACAAATTAATTTAAAGACGTTAATAATTTTTTTTAATTTATTCATTGGTAAATTAACCACAATAATTATAAAAGTTCAAAACAATGACTTTACTTAGAGTGAATAGTGACGTCACATGATTTATTTACTTTTTACATCAACAATGGCGGCTTCCATCGAAGGTTGTGTTCCCATTCCAATGTTTAAAACACGTTAAAGCTAATTGTCTGTCAGCTATTACTTTAACAATACGTCCGTTTGCTGTTTTTATTACGTTCCAACACTTATATAAATTTTCAACAGTCTTTTTCATTTAGTTTTACAATAAATTTCTCTAGCTCAACAATCTAAAGATCAGCTGTCCAAGAAAAGTTATTTATATATCTAGAATCTAGGTCGAACCAAATTATTTTAAAATCAGAATAATTTATTTAGTTTCTTTATTAAACTATTTTAGTGCTTAAATATTTGATATAAATCTTTGCTTGTTAGCTTCACAGATCATCTAATTTAAGAATACAAGTTATTTATTTATCCAGACAGCTCTGGATCAACGGAAATTACTTAAAATCTGGCAGAAGGCAGAGTATTTGCTCTCTTACTTACATGTGAAATTTCCTTTATCGATCTGAAATAGTACTCAAGTTAAAGGCTTTGAAAAACCAAATGTAGAATAAGTTCTACTTCCACTTCCAGTTACCGGAAATCGCTTAAAAGGTGATACATAACTACAATTTTGATATAATACTTGTATATAACATTTCATCAACCTAGCTGTATTGGTACTCAAGTTATTGTGTTCACAGACTTACATCCACACACACACAGTCATACGGGCCAGGGGCGGAACTACAGTGCCGCCAGACCCCGCAATGCGGAGGGGGGGGGGGGGGGGCACGCCATTTAGGGGCCCACAGCCGACCATAATAATTTTTTTATAGTAAAAAAATCAATTTTCTTGCATTTTTGACTTGATTGTTGCTTTGTAAAAAAAGATTACCGTAGATGCGCTTGGATTATCTTTATTCTATAGACACCAACCACGCTATTGTATGTTCTTTTTCCCTTTGTTTTAAACCACTGTGAAAGCCGAGTCCTCTTTCTCCTACAATCAAACTTGTCAAAGATAGGTAAACGTTCAATTAGGCATCCATGACTTATTTCCCTTTTTTAAAAAATAGTCTAATAGGAGTGCTCACATAAGCTCCTTTTAATAGATTTGTACTAAACAAATTAAAAAGCAATTACTTCTCTTAACTACTTTTTTTTATAAAGTACCTACTAAAGAATGACATTGTATAAAAAGGAATTATATTTAAAATTAATAATATAAATACAAAAAAAATAAAAAAAAATAAACATAGAATAGATTAGAATTTAAGAGGTCATATTAATAGAATTGATAAAGTAAACTGATTTTCACAAAATAGACTAATGCACTTACACACATGACATTTGTTTTAATTGAAAAAAAAAAAACATTTTTTTCAAAACCCGAACAGGCCAGCAATGAGTAGGCCTACCCTATGTTCGTTTTTTTGTGTTTATATATATATATATATATATATATATATATATATATATATATATATATATATATATATATATATATATATATATATATAAATTTTGCGGGTTGGCCCTTTTTTCTAGATCTAGTTCCGCCACTGATACGGGCAGCATTGCAAAGCCCAGTTTTTCTGACTCGATTACGCATAGAACGCTGAAATTTTGATAAATCTCCATTTATTATTTTTGCCCAATTAAAATTAGTTCCCTACACTCCGTATATGATGAAGTAGGCCTACTGAGGTGTAAAACGAAGAAAACTGTCAAAATTTCATGTGATTTTTGTGCACGATTACAATACTTCCTCTATGCTCTGTAAACGAGAAAGTAGATTTGGATAAAAAAACTTTTGTAACAATCTTTTATTTCATAATGAACAAAAAAGGAGAAAATAAATAATTTTCTATAAATATATAGTAATACGCTACTATTTAAATATCCATAAAGAAAAGCGAGGGTCTCTTCCGAAATATTAGTAAAGGTATTAAATCTCTATATATATAAAAAATTCATAAAAAACGTTTTAATAACAAGCTTTTATGTAATTATGCGCTAAAAAGTAGAAAATAAATTATAGACTACTATTTAAATAACTATAAAGAAAAGCGTGGGTCACTTTAGTATCTATTGGATACCTTTACTAATGTTAAGGAAGACACCCACGCTTTTCTTTATAGTTATTTAAATAGTAGTCTATAATTTATTTTCTACTTTTTAGTGCATCATTACATAAAAGATTGTTATTAAAACGTTTTTTATGAATTTTTTTTTCAGTACTTTACATGTTTTATTTACAACTAGAATACCCGTCATCCGTTGGATAACTGGGTTTCGGGGGTCATCCATCAAAAAACATCACGTCTGTCACTCAGAGGCATAGCGACCCTTCCCGGCGCCCGGGGACAAAGTTTTCGATTTGAACCCCCCCCCCCCTCAAACTTTTGATGTGCACCCCCCCCCCACTCAAACTTTCGATTTGAACCCCCCTCAACCTATCAATTTATTTTTCCAAACCATTTTGGCGCCCCAACATATGTCCCCCCCCCTTCCCCCCTCCACCTCCCCCCCCCTCCCCCCCCCCCGCCTCCCCTCCCCACCCCCCGCCTCCCCTCCCCTACCGTCCCCCCCCCCCCCCCCTCCTCGGTACGCTACTGCAGTGTCACTTATCGTCACAAAAAACAGACCCCACATTCAAATATATGTTTTTTATCTTTTAAAAACACCGAAAACACCGATTTCGGACTATCCCTTCATAAACTGACGTCACAGGTGACCTACTCAACTCTACTTCACCTGCCCAGTGTCCTGCCAAGTCTCAGACAACATGTTTTTATCGTTTAAAAAACAATTCCAGCCGAGCATGTATCTGACCACACTATCCTTTCATATGCTTAGGACAAAGAAACAGATGAAATCTACTTCACCTGCCCTGTATCTTGCCAAGTTCAGATAGGCAACGTTATCATTCACATCTAAAAAAAAAATTGAAAAAAAAAATTTCATTGACATATTGGTCTAGAACCCGTGCCTCTTGCATGAGAGCTGACTACGCTACCATTTTAGCTATTTACTCGTGACGTCATAAGTGAATTTTTATACTATACTATGTGTCTCCTTATGCAACTTGATTTACGCGTATAGATTCTAGATCTAGATCTAAAAATAAGTCTAGTAGTACTAACTTTCAAATTAAATTTTATCTTAAATAAGCCAAACAAAGATTTATATAAAATAATTAAGGCCTGAAATAGATTCTAGATGTAGAATTTACATTAAGTCTAGATCTAGAATTAACATTGAATCTAGTGACCTACATCTAGGCTAGATCTAGATCTAGATCTAGGCTAGATTCATAAATTTCCTTCGATAGCTGATCTTTAGATCTAGAGAAATTTATCGTAAAACTAAATGAAAAAGACAGTTGAAAATTGATATAAGTGTTGGAACGTAATAAATACAGCAAACGGACGTATTGTTTAAGTTATAGCCGGCAGAAAATTAGCTTTGTAACGCGTCAAACTTTTGAATGGGCCACAAAGTCTATGATGGAGTCCGCCATTTTTATCGTACCAAAAAGTTAACATATCAAGGGACGTCACTATCCCCACAAAGTTTATTCAAAGTATTAACATTTTTAAAAAAATACGGTTAATTTAACTATGAATAAATCAATAAATTAATTAACGTCTTTAAATAAATTTGTGATTAACAGTCTGTCTGCATTAAAAAATTATTCTCTACCTACATACTATTTTACAGCTCTCCAGATAGAGTCGAACATATCACAATAGTCGATCAGGCAAACAAAAAAACAAACAAAAAAACAAAAAAATAAATATTCAAACATGTAAACAAACTTGACTTTTAGTAGTATATAGATAGAGTTACATGACTAAAAACCATTGCGCGCCTACTGAACATCACGTTCAGTAGGCGCGCAATGGTTTTTGAACGCAGCCATTACGTGATGGCGCAGCTATTGAAGGTGATGACGCGTGTGGTGTGGTTGGCTAGACATTCCTACTAATTCGGTCCAAATTTTTATTAATTCATAAAAAATTAATTAGGCATCCAATTAAGTCAAATTTAGTTTCAGATTGCATTGTCTTCATGTCTTGACCCACGTGCCAACTATGAATCGTGTCGGTCAAGTAGAACTGTCCGAATTTTCACTCCTGCGTTTCCGTCTAGACAGACAGACTGTCGAGGAAGTGAGTTAAATAAAAGCTTGTAAAAAAGCAATGTATGTGTGTGTCTCTGTGTGTGTGTGTCTTTTATGCATTACCACACCTCTTATCACATCGCCGTCGAATTTTGGGAAGCTGTTAAGAATATTCCTGTGGAGGTTTCTACGGAACAAAAAATTCAAATTCGCAGGGGTGGCGCCCCAGCAGGGCGCGATTTGTTTTTTTCTCTATATACGGTATATAAAAAATAAGAGTCGATTGCAGGTTCACACTGTTCATCCAATCGCCGTCAAACTTTGGGGAGTTGGTTACAGCAATTCAGGGAAGGGTTTTGTAAAAAAAAAAAACCTTTTTAATTTCGCAAGGGCGGCGCCACGGGAGGGTGCGATTTTTCTTTATATACGGTATATTAAAATAATAAAAGTGAATTGCAGTGACACCGTTCATCCGATAGGCATGAAACTTTGGGGAGTTCATTTTTTTTAAAAATTAGGCAAGGGTTCTGTAAAAAAAAAATCATTTTTAACTTTGCAAGGGCGGCGCCACGGGAGGGTGCGCTTTTTCTCTATGTACTGTATATAAAAATAAAAGTCGATTTTGGTTTAACACTGTTCATCCAATAGGCATGAAACTTTGGTGGGTACATTAGAACACTCTAGGGAAGGGTTCTGCAACAAAAAAATAATTAAATTAGCTAGGGCGGCGCCACGGGAGGGTGCGATTTTTCTCTCTTTACGGTAAATAAAAATAAACGCTGATTGCGGTTTCACTGGGAGAAAATGAGTAGCTTGTAAGTTTAGGCAAAATGTGAAGACAAGTGATATGAGATTTTTGACAGATTTTTAAACAGAGTGTGAGCGGGTGAATGGATTATTTATTTTGTATTATTTTATTTGGTGCGAATCTGCATAGTGAATGGTCCAATGGACAGCGACTACGGGGTTTCCCTTTCGCCGAAGCGGTCAGTATAAAAGTTGACCGCTCGGATAATTTCTTCCTTTTTTTGACCGCCAGTATGTAGGTCAGGTCTGCTGTCTGCGGTCGCGCTTCGTGCGTTAGAGGTATTTGTTTTTATTTTATTTTTCTTTATGTGATTTGTATGAATGCGACTGCCGAAGTGTTATCGTTTTATTTCTTTTTCGTCTAAAACGAGATAGTGGGCAACGGCATGTCTGGTATGCACGTGGTGTATTCTTTTTGTTGGTATTTTCTAAACCCTTGGTGTGTTTTCAGACCACGTGGTTTAGGTCAGTGTCTTCCTAAACTAGTGCGAAAGCGTGTGTGCATATACTTGATTGTTTTGCTTTATTATGATGTGTTGTTATTGTGGGTCCCCCACGATGACTAGGTTTGGCTAAGTCAATAGTCGGTTGTTTTAGACAGTACTGAGTAGTTTAGTTTGCCTCGACTTTTAGGTTGTTTAAAATTAATGTGTTTGCTGTTTCGTGCAACGTCATGTTGAGGGTCACTTGCGTTGTGTCTGCCTTCATTGGGGCCCTAGCTCTATAATAAAATTACAGCCTAATTCATGTGTCTAATGTAAAAAAAGTGGTTTGCTTGCAGAGTTTATTTCATGCATCTCTTCAGGTAGGGGCGAAGCCCATTCAACCCCCCCCCCCCTGGTAGAACGTCTAATCCCGCTCCTTAAAGAGTTTCTTTCATGCAATTCTTCGGGTAGTGGCTAAGCGCGACACCAGTGTTTCTTTCAGACTTTTTCCTCACCGGAGTGGTGAACTTTTTCTAATCTAAAAAGTGTTTAGCGTGCACAGTTGTTTTTTTTCATGCACCTCTTCCGGTAGGGGCGAAGCCCCGCCCAGGTTCTTCCTTTAGTTTGTATGATCTGCAAATGCGTGCAGAGTTTCTTTCAGACTTTTTCCTCCCCGGAGAGGGTGGGGGTACTTAAAATTTTCGGGGGCGGGGGTAGAATTTTCTGTGAGGGGGCGGACACTGGAAAAAGTATTTAATTATATTTCGTTGAATGGGACGGTAGACATGTTTTGGGGGGGGGGGGGGGGGGGAGGTTGGTTTTAGTTTAGAGAAAATAGACAGCGCTATCAACCTAGCGCCCGTTGTATCCTTCCTCAACGTGCCATTTTTCTCGTTATATAGAATACTCTTAAGTTGTACAATTATTAATAATGAAATCAAAATATTTCTTAGAACATTTTTGTGACTTTATTTCTGATAAAATTTTTCTTTTGTGACTTTTTTCCTAGCAAAACCTGTGACTTTTTTTCTGTTTTTTTTTTTACTTTCTCGTATATACGAAGTATAGAGAAAGTCTTGTAATCGTGCAAAAAAAAAAATCGAGATTTTTATAAATCTCGACGTTTTGCACCTCACTGATACGGAAAAAACACAATTTTGCAATCTTGTCCGTATGTCTGTGTGTCTGTCTGTCCGTGTGTAAACACGATAACTTGAGTACCGTTACAGCTAGGTTGATGAAATTTCATATATAAGTATTTTATCAAAATCGTAGATCCGTATCAACTTTTGAGCGATTTCCGATAACCGGAAGTGGTACTTTTCCTACTTTGAATTTTTCAAAAGCCTATAACTTGAGTACTATTTCAGATAGATAAATGAAATTTCACATGCAAGTAAAATAGCTAATTCTCTACCTTCTGTTAAATTTTGAGTAATTTCCGTTGACCGGAAGTAGTAATTTACGCTACTTCCGATTTCTCAAAAAACTAATGTAAATTTTAAAAGTACTAATAATATTGCGCACTATTATGCGCTTTTTTATTTGGCGTTCACTTGGTGTGCAATTAATTTGTCTACGAGATTTTATTCTATTTTTGAAACTTAAAGTATTTCAAATGGATTAAAAATCATATCTATAGCCCAAGTTCCCATCCCCTGTTATTTTATATAAGAATATTCGAGAAAGTTTAGGGGAGATCACTCCCGGTTTATTTTCCCTGTGACTTTTTCCGTTCACCGTTTGCAAGGACTCTATCGCGCGAGATTCAGGGGAAGCCACTCTATTTTACCAATGGCTGCTGTTTATAAAACAAATTCAGGTAAAACTCCCATTTTAGTGAATTTATTCTCTGTTGCTTGTTTACCTCCAGTTGAGCGTATTTTATTATAATAAGTAAATAACCGAAACTTAGGAAAACACGATTTATTTATTTAATTTATTTCAATTTGTATTGAATTTTTGTTTTAACAAATTAATAAAAAATAAAAAAGATTTATCTACTATCTAGATCTAGAATAAAGAGACTGACTTTGTTTTAGATTTTTTGCCAAAACTTGAGAAAAATCCAAATTTAGAATATTGAATGGAATGTGCTATGTTCATGTGTAAGCATTTTCATGGCAATGGGTGAAGTATGTAAATGTAACTCACAATTGCAAGGCGATGTTTACATACCTAAATTAAAACGATAAGATTGCCCATATTTTAGATTAAGATTTCTAGGTCACTGATGTAAAATAATGTATTAGTATTGGCAGGATCTATAATCTTAATTAGATCAGATCTAGATTTTTAGATCTAGAATCTCTAGATCAGTGGTTCCCAAACTTTTATGAGTGACAACCCCCTTTTATAAAACTAAGTGACCCGTGACCCCAATGGAATTAAAAAGTCGAAATTAGTAGGGAAATTAATAATAAGCACTAAAACAATTTAAAATAACTTCAAAATTTCAAGATTTTCTAGTAGATTTTGAATAAGAATTATTTAAGTATTTTTGATAATTGTTTTAATCAGAGTTTCTTCCAGCCATCTCTTCGGGGGCTAAACCCCCCGAACATTTTTTTACCCCCCCCCCCCGAACGAAATGAAATGTATATAGTATACATAGGAAATATATATACTTATATATATACTAGCCGTCCCGGCCAGGCCCTGCTCTGGCTTCTGTGAAAAACCTTTCTGTTAAAGACCATCACCTGTGTGTTTAGTAATCATCGTAAACCCGGCATTGCCCACCCAAACCACAACCAACCAAAACCAAAACAACAAAACGCAAACATAGCGCTAACACAACTACAAATACAAACGAAAACAAAAACCTCACAACAAACCCAACCACAACCACAAACACCAATACAAACACAAAGAAAAAACAAACAAAGAAGCAAACGAAAATAAAAACCTAACAACATACCCAACCACAACCACAAACACCAATACCAACACAAAAAAACAACGAAAAAGCAAACGAAAACAAACCAAATCCAAACGCAAAACCAACCAAAAACACAAATACAAACCCAAACAAAAAAAACACAAACAAAAACGAAAAAAGAAAGAACAAAAACGAACCAAATCAAAACGCAACCACTAACGCAAACCCACCTAAACACAAAGAAAACACTAACGCGAACATAAACGCCCGATGCGGAATCACCTGTTTTAGCTTAATGAACGGCTATAGTACCCCAACTTATTCATAGTCTTTTGCTCTCACTTAAACGAACGCGCCTGTTTCAATTTGATGAACAATTATAATACTCCAAGCTTATCCGTAAAATACCTACAACATTTGCACTTGATCAATCCCCGCTAATTATGTAATTATTTTTTTTCCCAACACCAAAACAAAGTAATTAAAAAGTAAATTCTTTTCCATAAAATGCAATGGTTTTATAAAGGGAAGTAATTGTGTTTTCCTAATTTATCAAAGGGAAGTAAGTGCTATAGGACTAAATAAAGACATAATTAGAATTGTTGTAAAAGATGATATTTTTTTAAAACTTGTGTTTAATAAACATGCCGAAAATTATTACTTTCAGTTTGATAAATGAAAATTATTTCCCAAAACTTTCAATATTAATTTTTTAACTCATAAATGTAGACCATAAGGACTTTAATTATCTAACACTTAAATCCATCGAAGACCAACGACAAACACATGCATTACATACAGAACTGAGCTTTATATATATATATATATATATATATATATATATATATATATATATATATATATATACTTCGCCCCCGAAGAAAGTCTACCCCACCCCACTAATTTCAAGTGCCCCACCCCCGGGAGAAAAAAGTCTGGAAGAAACAATGGTTTTAATACGCTGAATGAAATTGCATGCTATTAGTTACTATTAGTATTAACTAAACATTCACGGTTGAGTTTTTTTAACACCAACCTCACTTCATTATCAACATTTGTTTTTAAAGTAGTGTCAAAAATCTATTCTCGCAAAGATCAGTAGATGCAAGGAACTCAAACTCGAAAGACGATCAATTTCACTTTTGGATATGAATGGTGTATACTACACCAAAATTGCGTGTGCTGTTTTTCATCGTGGAATCATTCCGCAAATTTAAGTTAAAGAATCCATCTTATAATACATCGGGAATGCTGGCAACATAAAGGGAAGCATAGAATGGGTTACTTGTCAATGCAGATTCTTATTCTTTCAGCTCAGGAACTAACGCCACCATTTGTTTTCAAGAGATTAAAGATGCCCAGAATCCTCTTTCAAATTTTTATTTATCTCACAATCAGATTCATCTACCACCCTGCAGAGTTTATCAAACATAGGAATATTTCCAAGATTTATTTTTCCTCAACAATTTTGCAGCTTTAATAAAAATTCCCTGAGATGATCACAAAAAGAGATAATATTCATTCATTTTCCCTGAAGCTTCATGTTAAGATTATGTTGATGTTCGAATGTATCTGCTAGGTATGATACTCTGTCCAACCGTTTCTTTGTTGTTAAAGTATATCAAAAGGTCTTGTTTCCTTTGCACTTCCTAGAACGACTTGATTTCATCTTTCAATTCAAAAACATGATTCATATTTTGTTTGACAGCAGTGTACTGTAGTGTGGAAAAGCAGAACCTCGTGATCTTTATTTATGTCTTTGCACAGTTCTTTAAGGGCTCCAGATTTAATATAATTTATGACTTTTACTAGCAATGGAGTCGGAAGAGTCTTGCTGACGAGGGCATACCGTTGAAATATGCAATGTTTTCCCCTAGGTTAGGAAGCTAAATTTTTACTTCTTTCAGAAAGCCTGATTTTGACCTTAACATAGATGGCACATTATCATTACAACCCCACAGCCGTTTTCCCATTTTAATCATTCAGTTTCAAAAAACATTTTTTTCTTTATGCTATCTTCACAATATAACAATGCTGCTTTGCTATCATCTGAATGAATTTATTTCACAAAGACAAGCAACTGCATACACGAAGTCTGCTAATTCATCAAATTGAAAAAGCAAATAATGGCGAAAGCTTGATTTCATTTAAAATTTGATCTTTAACATCTGTGCACATGTCTGCTTTAAGACGCTGAAAATATTATTAGGCAGTGATATTTGTTGCATCTTTACTGCACTGGAATCTCCAATAATTAATTTCACCATCTTCATCATGCAGGGTTTGATGAGATTTTCTCATTGTGTGATTTTTCTGTTGCTTTTTTTGCTTGGCGATTTCTATTGCAACTTTCTTTGATGCTTGCACTAATGCTTTATTTTCTTATTTCCTATTCGATCAGTGTTTCTTTCAGAATTTTTTCTCCGGGGGGGGGGGGGGGAGGGGGAGGGGCGGTCACTGTTATAAGTATACTAGCCATCGGTACCTGTTTCACGTGAATTATAGGCCTGTATATTTTAAAATGTTGTACTTGTTTGAGAGAAGTAATTTATAAAATAGTTATTGGTCAAAACACAATGTGCTTTACTACACGCTGAACGATATTAGTGACAAAGCAAAGAAATAACTAATAAGCTAATAATAATAAGCTAACTAATAAAAATCCGACACATTTAACATAACACAGGCACACACTGATTAAGTGACTTAAATGATTCCGTTAACAATCTGGATGTTTAATGGTCATTATGTTGTTTTTAAGTAATTTGTATTAATTTGACTGATAAAATTGTATATATTTCATAGCGTACGTCTTGATGAGTAGATTTATAGATCTAGATCTAAATCAAATTTGAATGAAGTAGTTCCTTTCTTTATGGTCGAAAATCGGAAGATTCACATATTAAAAAAAAAAATTAAACTTGACTTTCTGTGTCTCCTTATAAAACATGGAGAATGAAAGACGTATTTAAAAAACTTAACTTATGCAAACATGCCTATTCTTTCAAATTAATTCAAATTATAGTTTTTTTATCCCAAATTAGCCAGCTCCATAGCTAAACAAACAAAGATTTCTATAAAATAATTTAGGCCTGAAATAGTTTAATATAGAAATTTATTTTTGGAATAGATTCTAGAGTCTAAATCTTTAAATAAAATGTTGGTTATACATTTAAAACATCTAACATATTATTTTCAACCAAAGTCTGTATCAAGTTATCCATATATCGCTGCAGATTCTGATGTGATATCCTGCGAAAATATGGAGGGGAAGAAACTATGTGTTCGATCAAGTCTCCGATGTTTGTAACTAGCTTCATGCTGACAAAAAAAACCCATATCTTTTTTAGTGTGTTTCGAATGACTTCTCTCAGATAATGTTTTAGTTTAGAAGGTTTCATAGACTTATGACTAAGAACAACTTTGCACAGTATGCATTGTTTCTTCTCTTTTCCTTTTCCAGTGACGTTAGTAATGCCGAATTTCAGATATTGTTCTATTTTTAAATATTTATGTTTTGTTTCTGATTGCTTATGTTTAGTGTACTAATTAGCGACCTCCAGTACACTCTTACTCGGGGGTCGCGACCCACGGTTTGGAAACCAATGCTTTATAGCCTTATAGGTCATTCATTAAAACTGAGCATTTTAAAATTATTTTTACATTCACCCTCCCAAATGTCATAAATCACCACAAAAAAGCCACCTCTTTTTCTAAAATGGTATCTCAGCCTACAACCGCCTCAAAATTGTAGTTTTTCATTGTTTAAAATATTGATTTCTTTAATAGCATTTACTGAGCTTCCTATTCATTTACAAGAAATATTTTTAAAACATAAAATTTCGACTTTCTAACATTTCTGTTTAAAATTCAAAAGCGTGTAATTACAGATTTTTAGCTTAATAACTTAGTTAATGGTTTCATGTATAAATAGATTTTATTTTATAATTTTGTTTATCATGTAATTTACCAGTTTATAATTTATCCAGAGTGGAATTGGAAGCTGATTATAAAACTTTGCTCATCTCATTAGATCAAAAACATATTTTTATTTTTAAACAGGATAGTATATAGATCTATCTAATGTAGTTCAAATTTCATATTTGTATGCTTACTTTATTGCTTAATTAAGTAGAAAAAAAATAATCTACCAGCCTTTAATCCTTAAATGAAATAAACCGGGAGTGATCTCCCCTAAACTTTCTCGAATATTCTTATATAAAATAACAGGGGATGGGAACTCGGGCTATAGACATGATTTTTAATCCATTTTAAATACTTAAAGTTTTAAAAATAGAATAAAATCTCGTAGACAAATTAAATGCACACCAAGTGAACGCCAAATAAAAAAGCGCATAATAGTGCGCAATATTATTATTACTTTTAAAATTTACATTAGTTTTTTGAGAAATCGGAAGTAGCGTAAAGTACTACTTCCAGTCAACGGAAATGACTCAAAATTTTATAGAAGGTAGAGAATTAGATCTTTTACTTACATATGAAATTTCATTTATCTATCTGAAATAGTACTCAAGTTATAGGCTTTTGAAAAATTCAAAGTAGGAAAAGTACCACTTCCGGTTATCGGAAATCGCTCAAAAGTTGATACGGATCTACGATTTTGATTTAATACTTATATATGAAATTTCATTAACCTAGCTGTAACGGTACTCAAGTTATCGTGTTTACACACGGACAGACAGACAGACACACAGACATACGGACAAGATTGCAAAATTATGTTTTTCCGTATCAGTGAGGTGTGAAACGTCGAGATTTGTAAAAATCTCGATTTTTTTTTTTTTGCACGATTACAAGACTTTCTCTATACTTCGTATATACGAGAAAGTAAAAAACTTTAAAATACACTAGAATTTAGAAATCAAAACAAAGTTACTTTCTTAATAGGAAAACTGGAAATATTAAACAGATTGTTTAAATTGAATTTATTTTTAAGTAACATTTTAAAAATCTTTATTCATAGACAACAACTACTAAAATAAAATTAATACCGCACTTAGCCTCATCGCATCTTAAGACCCTCCTTAGTCTAATCATACCATAATACTTGTACTATCCTTAGCCTTATCACACCTTAATGCCCTACTAGCTTAAGTCAATTACAAAAATTTTACTGAACACAGTAACATAGAGTGTATTAGTCAATTTCGGTTACAATTAACAAAAAGTCTTTAAGAATGCAGTATACCGGCCTAAAATCAGATTCTTATATTACTTTTAAAAATGCATTAGTGTATGGCCTCAGTTTCTTTACTTTATTACTTAGTTTATGGTTTCAATTATAAATATATTTTATTTTTACAATTTAGTTTGGCTTGTAATCATAATTGTCTTTTTATTTTTTTCTTTAGTCATCAATTTACCAGATAAAAATGTATCCAGAATGGATGAGGAAGCTGATTTTAAAACTTTGCCGAGACTATTGGAGCTCCTACAGGAATGCAATGAAGAAATAAAATCAGAATTATCCCCTAACATAACTTTAGCTGACATAAAGCCTGATGTAGTAACATCTAAAATAACTTTAGAGGAAGTAAAACCAGATGTATCAATTTTATTATCCACTTTTAATGACATTAAATCAGATGTATCTCCGACTTTAGAAAAAATGAAAGTAGATGTATCAACATCATTTACAACTGATAACATTGAATTGAATTTAGGAGCATCATGTATAGCTTTAGAGGATTTAAAACCAGATGTATCAACTTCTTTTACAACTACTGATTATACAAAATTAAATGTTTCTCCATCATTTTCATCATTCGACAACATCAAAATAGATAAATCAACATTGTTTTCAAACTTTGAAGAAAGAAAGCCAATTTCGTCATTCAAGAGTGAAAACCAAAATAGTTTTGATGAACAAATACAACCTCTACCACATTTAACTACTTGTGAAGAAAATATCCCATGTATTGAATCAAATATTTGGACTGACTTAAAAGAACTTAAGATTTTACTCACCCATTCAAATAATATTTTATCTTCAAATGTAACATTGGGAACGGAAACCAATCAGTGTTGTGAATGTGAAAAAGTCTCAGAGGAAGAGGCTGTACACCCAAAATGCTGGAACCATGTTAAAGGGCATATTAAAACAAACACAGGTGAGAAACAACATAAGCCTGTTTTTTTACTGCAAAACACAATTCATCACAAGGATTTGGAACACAAATTTGACTCAAGTCGTGAAAAGAATCCTAAGAAAGTTGTCTCGTCAAAGCATAACAAAGCTCAGTTTGTTAATAAGCTGCATCAGTGTGACATTTGTCACAAAAAGTTTTCTTGTCAAGCTTTTTTATCCACACACAAAAGAAATATTCATTCTGAACATCAAAAGTTAACCCACCAAGCTAATTTAGAATTACATAAACAAATTCATTCTCGCAAAAAACAACGTGAATGTGACATTTGTCACAAAAAGTTTTCACACCGAACTAGTTTAGCCAAACATAAAAAACTACATTCTGGACTTAAACCATATGAATGTGACATTTGTCATAAAACATTTTATCTTAATGCTAACTTATTATCACATAAAAAAACTCATTCTGTAGATAAACAATATGAATGTGACATTTGTCACAAAAAGATGTCTCGCAAGACTAATTTAGTCATACATAAAAGAATTCATTCTGGTCATAAACCTTATGAATGTGTTATTTGTCATAGAAAGTATACTCAGAAAAGTGCTTTAGTATCACATGAAATTGTTCATTTTGGAGATAAATTGTATGAATGTGACATTTGTCAAAAGAAGTTTTTTAAAAAGTCGAGTTTAGCCGCACATAAAAAAATTCATTCTGGAGATAAACCATATGAATGTGACATTTGTCACAAAAAGTTTCTTTACAAGTCGAATTTAGCCGCACATAAAAAAATTCATTCTAGAGATAAACCATATGAATGTGACATTTGTCACAAAAAGTTTCTTTACAAGTCGAATTTAGCCACACATAAAAAAATTCATTCTGGAGATAAACCATATGAATGTGACATTTGTCACAAAAAGTTTCTCCAACAGTCTAGTTTAGCCAAACATAAAAAAAAATCATTCTGGAGTAAGCCCATATGAATGTGACATTTGCCACAAGAAGATAGCATGCAAGTATAGATTAGTCATACATAAAAGAATTCATTCTGTTCATAAGCCTTATGAATGTGACATTTGTCATAAAACATTTTCTCAGAAAGCTCATTTATTATCACATGAAAACACTCATTCTGTAAATAAACCATATGAATGTGACATTTGTCACAAAAAGTTTCATTACAAGTCGCATTTAGCTGCACATAAAAAAATTCATTCTGGAGATCAACCATATGAATGTGACATTTGTCACAAAAAGTTTACTCAGAAAACATATTTAGTATCACATAAGAAAATACATTCTGGAGATACATTCTATGAATGTGACATTTGTCACAAAAAGATGGCACACAAGTCTAGTTTAGCTAAACATAAAAAAATACATTCAGGAGAAAAATTCTATGAATGTGACATTTGTCACAAAAAGATGGCATACAAGTCTAGTTTAGCTAAACATAAAAAAATACATTCTGGTTAAAAAGCGCATGAATGTGACATTTGAAAGTATTCTCAGAAAACTTATTTAGTATCACATTAAAAAAATTCATTCGGCAGATAAACCTTAAGAATGTGACATTAGTCACAAAAAGTTTCTTTACAAGTATAGTTTAGCCATACATAAAAAAATCATTCAGGCTAAAAACCATATGAATATGAATGAAACATTTGTCACAAAAAGTTTTCTCAGAAAGTTTATTATAACACGTAAAAACCACTTGAATGTGACATTTGCCATTGAAATTTTGCCCAGATAATGAATCTTTTTTTCATTAATTAGTTAACAAACCATGTCCTTTTATTGTTTAGCATTTATGATATTGTACATTATTCGATTCCATTAAATTCTATAATAGGGTATCTTGTTGTTAGAAGATGCAATGGATTGTGCATAAAGGGAGGTTTCATTAGATGTAGGTGGCGTGGGTGGTGTGGGGGTCAAACACATGTTCACTGGGCAGTTACCATTTTGTTATTATTTTTATAAAAAAATAATTATAATAGCCTAATGTCCTGATCATGTACTTTTGTACCAAAACAAAGAACACAATGTGTATTTTTTTTAAAAATCAGTATTGAGATATTGTATTGAATTACATTGTGTTGCATTAAGTTTTACATATTTTTTGTGTTTTTTTATGTGTAGTGTTTTTTGTTTAGTTTTGTTACATTGTAATTTGTTGTTTCTACAGAGTTATAACTTAAATATTGGACCTTATGTATTGTTTTGTGGGGTTAACAAGGCAGCATCAGATAAATATACTATTTGTAGAACCGGCTTCTGGGCTAGTATACATTGTTTATCTAAAAACCACAATAGTATATTTTAGATTCGAAACTAATTTAACTAAATGAATACACAGATATAGTGGGTCCTATGTTTAGAGGTCATGACCCATCTATATCAGTATAATAAAGTTAGTCTAAAGACAGTTTTCTTGTAATTACATTACTTCAAAGCATATTCAACTGCAGTTTATTTAATATTCCGTAAAGATCTAGATTCTATATGTTGAGTAAATATATTTACATTTTATTCATTTAGAATAGGAAGAGAAGTAAAACTCCCGCAGTGGCTAGGTCTGGTTGACTGGGGCGTAGCGAGTTGGGGTTAAGTTGGGTTGTTAGAGGTAATACAAGATCTTAAGCGTAGCGAGTTGGGGTTAAGTTGGGTTGTTAGAGGTAATACAAGATCTTAAGACAATAGCTGCTTGGGGAGTATCAGCCAACAGGGGCGTAGTGACACAGGAGGTGGTGATATATGAAACAAGATGTAATTGGTGGTACATAAAAAGATGGACGTGGTGGTACATTAAAAAAAAGCTGGACGTGGTGATACATTAGAAAAATGGACACTGTGATACAGTAAAGTGGTTATACGTGCAAAAAGATGGACGTGGTGGTAAATGAAAAAAGTTGGACATAGTGATACAGGTAGGTGGTGATACACAAGGAAACATAGACGTGGTGATACATAAGAAATCAGGGTCGTCGTCAAAACATTACCACCACCCTTCCAGTGTTTCTTCCAGACTTTTTCTCTGGGGGGGGGGGGCGTACTTGACATTATGGGGGGGGGGGTAGACTCAGCCCCCCCCCCCCGTTGAAAGGATGCCTGAAAGAAACTCTGCACCCTTTTATTAACAACACGTAACGCCTGCTCATTTTTTCCCTTTCAATGTTAAACATCGTCAAGATGTGAAGCAGGCTAAGTTCACTCGACCTATATAGATAACTAGTTCAGTAAATTGCTTGTTAAGAAATATATGAAGAAAACAGCTGAATTAACGTTAAGAAACATACTCAGATTATAAAGGATGGAAGGTATTTTCGATAGTTTGTAAAGGTGTTTTCCAAAATGTGTAAATGTGTTTTCCATTGCTAATAAAGGTGTTGTCCATTGTTAGGCGAACATTAGCTGAAAATCTCATGTCATAGAGCCTTTCATATACACTTATACAGAAACAGAGATAAACTTTGATTTTACAACCTTACAAAAAGCCATACACGACCACATAAACAACCCACACGCGACAACATACACTATAACAATTACGTCTAAGTACCTGTGGCGTAGCAAGGTCGGGTGTCACCCGGTGCGGCACTTGTGCCACCCCACCCCCCCCTAAAAAGTATATATATATATATATATATATATATATATTCAAGGCATACTGCCCAGCTTCGCTTAGTCAGGGGTAGCAACCTTTTAAGACGGAAGAGCCAAAAGTTAAAATTTACAAATTTTCCCAGTTTTTAAACAGCCAATAACATTTTTATTTCAATATTTGGTGTTTGATTAGGATTAGGTAAATAAATTTTATTTGTTATTTAAAATAAATAGCTTTAAATATGAAATAATATTAATTCATAAAAAAGCATAACACGTTTAGCCAGAATAATAAAATTAGTAATAAAAAAAATATATTAATAGGACTAACCCAATTGACCTTAAACGCTGTTAATTTTTTTTACGGACAACATCGGCTCAGAAGGTGTCTCCCATTAGCCAGGCAGGCCTCAAACCGGCAAGCTTCGACTAAATGGCTTGGATATCGGTTTCAGAGTTTCTTCAAGGCATCTCTTTGTGGAGCCCCCCCCCCCCCCCCCCCCGAAAAAATACTATTATTTATATAGAAAATACATACTTTAACAGAGTCCGCCCCCCCCCACCCCCGAGGAAAGTGTACCCCTCCCCCCGAAAACTTCAAGCGCCCCCCTTCCCGGAGAAAAACGTCGGGAAGAAACACTTATCGATTTGATTACCGTGTATCGGTCGCTTCTGTCTTTCGGTTCTCACCAGACTTAATCTTCGACCCCACTGAACGCAGGGTAAACTCGTACCCCACGTTCCAGTAAAATTGAAATAATATAACTATTAATATTTGAGCAAGGAGCCGGAGAGCCGCAACTTGACATCTAAAGAGCTGCTTACGGCTCGCGAGCCGCAGGTTGTGGACTCCTGGCTTAGGTTTTCAAAAAAAACCTTTTGAGAATTTGAATGATTATATTTGCTGATTGGCTGTTATGTGGAGTGCTTACTAAGCCTAAACAGTCTGAGTAATTTCCTGTCATGCAAGCATACGAGGAGTATTCGCAAACGTATTACTCGCAAGTTTATTACAACTGTAAAGGCTTCCTCAATAGTATAAATCAAATATTATATCAAATTTACTTTCAACAATTAACTTTTACAATTTCAGTACAATACATAATTTAATTTATAACATAATATTTACTTAAGAATGCTACACTTTGTGATGTATGTTTTTTCTTCAAAATAGTAAACAAATTATTTAAAAGTTATTAATTAATTTTACCTCCCCTGTACATATACCAAATGACGCAGTCTTTGTTTACTTTTTCACAAACAATTGTTTACATAAGACATTACGGCATCTGGAAAAAATCTAACGACCCGATGTGAATAACGTTGCTCTGTTACCCTCCAGGGTCAGTCTACCTCACAAAATATCTAGAAGGGTCGTTTGGCGAAAGTTTTTTTTTGGTAATATAGCTCATATAAGGCCCGGTCAGTCGAGGTCAGTTTTGACACTCTGTTCGTGTACTTTGCGGACAACCGGCAACGGCCCTGGTGTTCTATTGCCCGAAAGAAGGAGCCTGCCAAATTCAAAGCGCCTGCGGCGCCGGGAAGTGCCCTTTCGGGTAAAACCTTAGTTTAGCGTCGGTTTTTATTTCGGAATCGTATAGCAGTAAAAAACAGTAAAACAATGCCAAAGTCTGTCACACACTTCCGGAATTCACCGGAAGTACTGTAAACCATACTTTATTTGGCGTCATCTTTTATTTTTATACAGAATGTTTAAAATTTGGATAGATTTATTTTTGTAATCATTTTTACATTTTGTAATCATTTTTACTATTTTCGTAATCTAGATTTTTTACTTGGTCTAGCAGCTAGATATCTAGCTAGATCTAGATCTAATTAATTAATGGTCGCAAATCCGCTGCAAGCCAAAAACATTAAATTATTACATTTGACTTCATTATTTATATTTATATTAATATATGTTGTTTTTTTTTTATTTTTAGATCTACTAATTTAAATCTACTATTATATTTATTCTTGTTTCCTTTTGTCGATTTTTCTTAAAAAATTAAAACATTAATTTACTACAATCGACTTTCAATTTATTTAAATTTCAATGGTCAAATAAACCATGGTTTACCGTAACTCTAGTTACCGAAACTCAACAAACATTACCCGATAATTTCCGACGCTAAACTAAGGTTTTACCCCCTTTCGCGCACCCGACCAATTTGCTTTGTTTTTATGTATTTGAAATGTATTTTATGCTTTAAACTTTGCTCAGATATAATACTAACGATTTATTTTTTAATCTATAGTAGGTTATAAATACAGCTTGATGTAGAATGTTTTCTCTATCATTAGCAGGTTTACGTCATGGTGTTACCCCACCCCCACCCCCCATTCAAACCATTGTCGGTATTTGTCAAATTTGCTCTTAAAAGACAATTTAACACTCTAATTAATCACTTAATTAAGTGGAATTATCATTTTTCTGTAAATATTGTGCTATTTTTTGCCTTGGTGTCACCCCCATAAAGGTGTCATTCTTTGCTGTCCGCACCCCGCCCCACACCCTACCTACTCCTCTGGTCTGTGGCAGTGGCGGAACTACAATGCCGCCAGACCCCGCAATGGGGGGGGGGGGGGCTTGCCATTTAGGGGCCCACAGCAGACCATAACAACAAATTTTATAGTTAAAAAAAAATTATTTTCAAGCATTTTTGAATTGATGGTTGTTTTGTAAAAAGATTACTGCAGCTGCGCCCAGATTATCTTTATTCTATAATCACCATCCCACGCTCTTGTATATTATGTTCCCTATGTTTTAAATATACACATGAGCTGTAGTGTGAAAGAGAGGCAAACATTCAAATTACTTCCATGGCTTATTTCCCTTTTTGAAATAGTCAAATAGGGGTAGGCCTACTCATAAGCTCCTTCTTATAGATTTGTACTAAATAAATTAAAAAGCAATTTACTTCTCTTTATTATGTTTTTAAAAAGTACTTCCTAAAGAATAACATGTATAAAAAGGAAATGAATTTTAAAATGAATAATATAAATACAAAAAAAAAATAAACATAACCCGAAACACCATTACTTAGACAAAGCTTTTATGTATTATATTGTTTTGACCGTTTAATAATTAGAGGTCTTATGGCAGAGATAAAATAAAATAAATTTTCAAAACAGACTAAGGTACTCACACACATGACATGTTGATGTAATTTGTTTTAATTGAATTTTTTTTTTTATTCAAGACCCGATTAGGCCAGAAATGAATACCCTATGTTCGTATTTTGTTATTTGCATATATATATATATATATATATATATATATATATATATATATATATATATATATATATATATATATTAT